CGGCCCCTCTGTTTGTCGGTTTGTGATTTGTTAGAACATTGCTTGACTGTCCAGCGTGTTAGCATGTGTTAGCATGAGAGTCAAGGATGTCAATACATCAAGCAAAGCATAGCAAATAGATCCTGTCACAAGAGCAAGGCCTTTTTGGAGGTCCACAGTAGTTGTGGTGTGTTGGTTAAGGGTCGTTGATCACATCAAGTGCCAAATAGATCTAGGAGTTTTCCACTCACCCGAGGAGCAGCCGTCTAAAAGTCCTTGCCCAACATGGAGCAAACATCAACAGTTGCGACAGTCCTTAATATTGTTTTGAAGGTTGAATTCTTCAAGACACTTGTGCATACTTATGCCATCTTATGCCTACATTGGGAAGAACGGGCCATTTGCTTCTTCCCAGGTCATGCTCAAAAAGACTCCGATGGATGTAAAAGATCACATACGCCCCTGTCACGTTCTGATCCTGAACAGGAACGGACCCTGCCTGAGGTGGCGAGGTCCCAGGCGAGCCGGAATCCTCAAGACGAGAGAAGTCCAGCGTCGACAGGTCGAAAAACGCCCTTCGGAAGGGGGACCTTTTGGATGAACCTCTGACTCAATCATACTCAATCCACATCTGTCACCAAGGTGCATCAAGCTGAATTCATCCAAAACGAACATGACCAGGTTGTAGAAATGTGCTGCACAGTGCTATTTCATACCTTCCCCCCCAAAAAAGGGCTGCGGCTGGCCGTCACCCCCCAAAACAGCGGTGATCCTTCGAAATCCACCAGCGGCACCGGTTACGCAGTCCCTCAGCAAACCTCCAGTCCCTCGGGCTTCAGCCAGGAGCCCTGGCTAAGGAATGCCCTGGTTCAATTCGCGCACCTCGGATCACGGTGACGACGAAACGTGCTGGTTCTACCGATGGTGCCGGTGGGCTTGCATTTTCAATCGTTTCTTGAACCAACAATATACTGTATGATAATGTATAATATATATGTTTTTGGTTGTGGGGTCACATGATTGAAAAAAAGAAACACACGTGCTTGCCTTGCTAATTAATAGTTGTATGCGTTACTAGTACCTAGAATCTTGAATAGTCGCACAACAAGTGCTCGCCATTACTGGTTGCGATCCTATCACCTCTGACTTTCACAGCATATCTTTTCTCCGACACTATTTGGAATGGCCTTTCACTCCCCACAGAGCTGGCTGTGGCAGTTTGAAGCAATGCATCAAATCATCAATGTCAACGGCTGGCATGTAACTCTTTGCTACAAATTCACTCCATAGAAGCTCCCGGGGATGGAAGTCCCAGCAAGCTGGCTATATAAGTTAAAACCAAGAAACCCATTCTGGCAATGGTGTGCACGCGAGCACACGCACACAAACACACACGTGTAGGGACCGTCTGCACTCCGAAACGGCATTCTGCCCCTGCATGTTCCATCATTTCTTGCTGTATCAACCATTGGTTGGCGTCTCCAGTCCTTGTGAAAGCCTTTGGGCTCTAGCTCCAATGGGATTTTCGAATGGGAATGGAAAGACTGGTGAGTTGACTGAACACGCCAGTGAGCCTTGCCCATCATCCATCTGACTGGCAGTCGTGAATTTGCGCCGCAAGGAGGGCATCCCATGACCCAGTGACGCCAGCCATGCGCTCAGATGCCCATTCGGACCAGCTCCTCGGCGATGAAACTCATCAAACATGAGGGGACATGGGTCCTGCCTGTGGAATACCGCGTGCCTTCAAGTGCCTGGGGCGCTCAAAACCCTCAATATCTAGGTCCATTCCCCGGCCGGTCTAAGCTGTGAACCACCAACCCAAATCAAACAGCACACGACACGGCCGGTCTCGGTCATCCAAGGCTCATCGATGGAGAGCAAGCAGCAAATCATGAGGCCCACGTCCACATCCGAGGACACACGAAGCCTGATGGTTGTCTCCACTGAGCACCCGCCACCAACCTACTAGCGATGGCCTCCCTTCTAGTAGCGATGGCCTCCAAAGGTGCTCTGATGTGCTGAAAGCTTGAATGGATATATGTGGGCCGCACAAGCTTTCAAAGCCTGGACGCGTGAGGGTCTTTCCGTCACGTTGAACAGCTGCCTTCATCATCCTTCGACTCTGCATGGCAGCATTTGCACTTCCAGGTCCTCTTACCTAGTATCTTAACTTCTCAATCGTCAAGCTACTGCCACAGTGTTATGTACCAAGTCTCTAGACGTTTCGCACACCCGACCCTATGGATGGAGCCCCTCAATTCACCCACCCAAGCCGGTTCTTTGCTGCCCTGCCGGTAGAAGTTGCCAGTCGGGTCAAAGGACATGGAACAGGGCTCGACATCCGCCGTCGGCTCCTGTGGAACCAAGGCACCATTGGCGGAGCTTGCTTTCATAAGCCATCAGTGTTAGGAGTGCTGGGTAGGAAATCTAAGGGGAAGGGAAGGACACATGGCGATTGCAACTTCGTTGACGCACCAGGACATTAGGGTCTGTGGTTGATCTGCATAGAAATGGAACTCTCAAGGCTATTTTGCCTTGGCCTGATATTCTCACGTGCAGAACTATTGAGCCTTACTCTTCTTTCGCTGAACTGTCATGGCCACAAGTGCCCATTGCTACGCTGAATGGGGTCGAGGCACCTGTAACAACCTGGACAGCCTGTAGGAGAACCCTACAGTCATCTCTGTCAAAGCCGAGGCCAAAAGTTCACATGCTTAGGGATCAATAGTCAATAGTCTATCAAATGTGGCCTGGCAACGCATCAAACATCAAAAATCTAGGGTTGACCTACACAACAAACAAGCCAATTCGAGAACCACACATGGAACCACCTGTAAGAATATCAAAGCAGGAGCGAAGACTCTGTAGTGTTGCCATGTCTTACCAAGCCACAAGTACCGGCGTATTCAAAAGCTGTCGGCATAATGCCCAACAAAACCCAAGAACCACGCCAAGCTTCCAAGAACTCCCACTGCCCCTGGTGGCCAACACCCGCTTGGTGCCCCTGACGGCTTGAATGCCATCAGAGACCAACACCGCGTGCTCTTTGAAGATCCCGTCAAAGAGAAGGTGTGGAGCTGCACAGCAGCGATGGGGGTCCGGCGGTGGGGCAGTATGGAGTGCCGTGGAGCTTTCTAAAGTGCTGGAAGTCAAGTGCGGAACGTTGGAATACCAGTTGAAAGAAGCCGTGTGAATCTGTGCATGATCTTGCTCATGCGCATGGGATAGAGTAAGGCTCGTTGACAGTCCAGTGGTAGCAATAATGATATCAAGGAAACCCCACTGCAACAAGGCCGATGGTGAGAACCTTGCTGTTCCACAATGCACTTGCCCACCACTACGGCAGTGTGGATGGGCTGGTCGACCCAAACGATACGACCCTCTGGTGCCCCACGCCGGCTTAGACAAACAGCTGACCGAAGCTTAGGGGGTTTGTTACCGAACGCTTTCTAAGCAAACAGCTAGCGCACCACCAACGGAGACAGGTGGTGAAGGCCAATCTACCAGCACAGGTTTGTTGGCTGGCTTGCAAACACCCGCACACTAGAGACGCCGAAGCTTTTGGGTAGATCCCAGGTGGGTTTGCAGGCTCGACCAAATCAGAGGCGGACACGATCCCGATGTCTTGAATCACCATCGGAATGCCATGGATTTCTTCTCCAGGCCCATCCAGGCCCTGCCGCGGTCGCTAAGGTCCATGCTGTTTGCGTTGGGCGCCTTCTTGGTCATGACCTTCGCAGCTGGTCAATGGGCTCACCCTCAAGCTTCACGGACCAGCATTGTTCTGAGTTCGCACGAATACCAGTTGAATTGAGATCAAGGATTTCCATGGATTTCCATGATCTTTCTCTCCTTCATGGGTTCTCAATCTTTTTCATACGCACTGTCGGAGGAAATGCACTCCTTCCACTTCACGAGGTGATGTGTGAAAGGCAGCCAAAGTTCAAAGTCTATGGACACTTCACTTCTTTGTTTCAGGATGGTCTACCAAAAGTAGTTGGTCTGTGCTGTTTAAAGTAGTCCATCAGCCCCTTTGATGCCTGTCACAAACGTTAAAACCGTTGGCACCAAAAGAGTTGGTGGACCAGCCGGGGGTCCGCGTGCCATTCCTTCCGCCAGTCCGAGTGGTTTGGGGAGGCTTTGGCATGTTTTCTGACAAGTCAAAACAAGTCAAAACATGCCAACATGTGTGTCAGATTGAAGCTGGTTGGACAAACCAATCTCCACAGCTCCGTACCGGGTGTTCGAGCGTAGCGGGGTCGAGAGCTGTCACGCTCCAGGCGGGCATAGACTTCGCCATTGGCCTGGCGCGGAGAAGCTACTAGGGGCTCCTGGCCATACTACTAGGAGCAAGGACGCTACTAAGGGCTCCTGGCATCGCTAAGCACCAGATATAGCTATATACTTCTATAAAGGTTTCCAAGTTGGAGGATTGTGACAGCCCTCACAAATAGCCCCAAGACATGGAATCGCACAAATCCATACAAATTCAAGTCGGGAAGTGATGTAAACAAATACTAAGATCATACAAGCACCATCTGATCTTCTGAATATGCTGGACTGGCTTGGGCGCACATGGAGTAGTCGACTACTTACCTTCAGCGGCTTCAGCCGCTTCAGTGGACTTGGCCCCCAAGACCCCCAAGCACAAGGGAAACCTGGGGTTCACCGGAGATGGGATATGGCCGTGCAATGAATCGGACTCAGCTGGCACCGGAGTGGTGACCGGCATCCACTGGGATCTTAAGACTGAAAGCTAGCAAGTCAGTGCTACTAGCACCACTGGAAATGGAAGTCCAATTGATCCTCACCATTAACACTACCGTACATAGAAATACTGTACTGTATAACAAAACTCAACAAAATAAAGAATATACACCTTCTCAGAAGTCACCAGGTCACTACAGGTCATCACCATTCCCATCCATTCCCCATCCCAACTCACGGTCGTCATGTTCCTTTTCTCCGAGGTCACCGGCGTTCCTGCGGCCTTCTGCTCTTCCCACCACCGCTGACCGCTACCGCTGACCGGACGCGGTCCGGCGCAGGAGGAGTCCAGCGGCCAAAGCGCCCAGAACTGCGCCTGGGGAGATCAAACGTCTATGGACCGGTCGGTGGTGCACAGCTTGGATGTTCACCACATGAACGCACATGAACTGACACGCAAAAGCCGGTTGGAAAGAGTTGAGTTTTCACAACACATGCAACATCATGCAACATCTGGAGGTTCCTGGACTGCTGACATAAACAGTGGTTAACTGGAGATGCACCATTATTCCTTCCAACAGCCCCACCTGTCGCCAAGGATGGCCATGAGATCTCCGGCCACACTGGCACACACGAGCTCAAGATCTTGACCGCCGCCTCCGCAGAAATCATGGAACCAAGGTCCGCTCTCCAAGGAAAAACCCTGAAAGACATAAATGCTTGTGGTTCACAAAGCAGCTTGGCTCCCTTCTCGGCCTTCCAAAGCTCTTCGTTTCCTGCGGCAACCACCCGCCCTCGTGACACCGCCTCAGTGTGGCCAGCAGTCGCTGAGCGTCTCGAGCCAGGATGCTGCCAATGTAGAATCAACATGCTTCACTTGCTTTGGTGTACCTCTTCGATTTCCAGACAACTTCTGCACCCCAACCATATCTGAATGAAAGCTTATAGGGAACCGAGATCATTCAAGTATTGAGAGAAATCCGGGAGCATTCACAAACCCTCAGGTCCACTTCAGCTGGTGATATCCCTCCTGCGCCATCTCCTGGCCGGCCATGACACGTGGCTCTGCAAGGTCAGCGGCCGGCCATGCCAGTCCGTCATCAATCCACCGGCACCAAGCACCACCGGCACCAATGCCATGTAGTCATAGATACCTGGCTGGTGTAAAAGCAAAACCACAAAAAAGCACACAAAGTCACCGGTATCTTATTTATGTAAACATATTATGTTATGCAATCATGTGCCATCAACGAGAACATGGACATCTGGACCATCTGGATATTGTTTTTTTTGTTCAGCACCTCCAGGCCCCAGGTACTACTTTACTACATGGTGACCCCAAATCAAACAAACCTATTATATATAGCATTTTTTAGGACAGTCATGCAACAAACGGATCGGACAGGTCTTCTCCGAGATGCCCAAGTCTGCTTCGACCACAAGATCGGCACCAAATCCAGAGGCACAAAGGCCATAAGCATAGCCTGAGGCACTGCTGTGCAATCAAGTTCTTAGGTTGGAGGCCATTGCTATTTAGGGTGGAGTCCATTGCTATTAGGGTAGGCATAGCCTCAACCACCGCTGTGCAATCATGCAGCCAACATGTTCTATCAGCACTTCAAGAGAGGAGTGGGGACACTCCCCACTTCACGGGACTTCTCAACCCTCAAATTTGCGAAATGTGATGTTTGTTCTGATGGCGCCGGCCGCATTGCAAAACAACATGCATTTAATGATTGTATCATATAATGCCATGTGACCTGACATGACCTGACTTTGTCTATGACCCCCCACAATCCCAACGATCCCCTACTTCTTTCTCAGGTTTTCTCCTGGAATCCTTCCAAGCCAGGGGAATCTGGTTCGCTTCTCTCCACCGCTTCTCCGTTCTCGCGGGATTCATTCACCGGTTCTCCGGGCCGAGCCGCAGTCGCAACCGTAGAGCGGGCGCTTCACCGCGCGGCGCAGTTGGTCGAAGCGCTGGGCCTCGTAGCCGGCGCCTGGGCTGGGCGACGGCTCAGCCGGAGAGCAGCGACTGTGTAAAAGAAGGGGTTCAGTCTAGTAGGTGATGCTCTGCGTGTTGTTAATGTTGTTTTTGATGCTTTGTTGTATCCCATGGTTGGGAGTTGTGTACTTCTGAATTTGGCTTTCAAACAAGCAAGAAACTCACTTGCACTGAATGGAGGGTAGGGCAATTCTGGGGACCTCTGGGATCCTCTGGGCAGCCGGACCGAACATGTGTGGCGTGGTGCTGTACATCATGGCCTCTTTCAGCTCACGGGCACAAGAACGATCCGCAGCTTGGATAGGCTTCTTGTTGAAGACCTCGATGAGGCTGTGAGTCTGAACCGCGAGACCATGGTCTAAACATGCCAAACTAGCTATAGACTATGATGGTCAAACTACCAGGGATTTGGTGGGACTTGGTAAGGCCCAGTGAGTTCTGGGAGCCCAATCCTGCAAGTCGATCCAACTTTATGGTTTATTTAAGTCGGTGATCAAATCCACGGTGTCTGCGTCGCGGACATGGCTTGGACATGGTCCAAAAGATTTCTGGATCTCGTCACTCTCATCCAGTTGCATGATGCCAACTCCAAAACCAGCTGCAACATATTCAGTTGGGCGACCTACTGATGCGCTGTGTGACGTGACGCACCGACGGGAATACGGCACACCTGCTGCCATGAGACAGTGCGGCCATTTGCACCCACCCAGCGCTCTCGGAGCACACACCTCGACCCCACCGGTTGCTGACATGCTGTTACCAGTCGCATCGTAGTTTTGACCATTAAATATACTCCTGACCCGGAACAAGTTGGGCATTGCCACATAGTCCAGTTTCCGACATCTCAAACAGCCAACTTGGGTGTCACATTCCTTTGCTCTTGCGAGGTTTCTGGCCATAACTGGATGGCTGAGACTGCGGCGGTGCATGCTGTGGCCGGCACACACAATCTGGAAACAAATGCGTCGAACAACGAAATCAAATACAGTAATTGGACAGCGGCCAGCTATCTTCAAATTAGATCTGTTTGATTGTTGCTGTGTGGTGGGCATGTTTCTCCGCGTAACCCCCAAATAATCAAAGACCGCAAAAAACATCCAAACAAGAACAGGACATTTGCATCAACATAGATCAACAATGAACGAACCTTCAAAAGAAATAACCTTGGGGCACTGGGCAGGGTCATCGCAAAGGAGCTTGCTTGTCGCTTCAATGCACCCGAGGTGCTGATCGATGACACCCAGGACTGGATTCCCGTCTTCCAGCAACGCGATGAGTGTGCCAAAGAGGGGTTTGCCTGGGACGGCGTGAGCTTAGCGACGTGCGGGTACAGCAGTTGTTACTTGGTGCTTCAGTTGACTTTTCAAACTTCAACTTCGTGGGGAATTGATCTGGAGATGCCGCATCAAGTAAAATATCACCATTCCCAAGGGTGTCAACAGTACTAGTCGTCTTGCAAGTGTTTTCGTAGAGGTGCCCTTTCCTTTGACAACAGTTAAAACGAACAATAACAAAGCTGTCAAGTTCTCTTAAAATCATGTCATCCATCTAGCTCCAATCATCCAGAATCATCCATGTCACAAAATCCTCCACCCTCAGTCATCTACTTTCCCTTCTCACCCGGACCATCATCGCCCCCACCTGTGATGAAGGACTTGGTGCCATCAATGGGATCTAAGACCCATACCTCGGGCCCAGTGGTGGCGGTGCATGGGATCTTGGGTCCTGGTCACCTTGGAATCGAGATGGAACCACCAAGCCATGTCATGCCCGAACCCGTTCTCTCGCTACCTGTGAGGCCCTACTGTAAGTTCCTTGGGCCCTTCAATGTTCCTCGGTCGCAGGACCCGAAGCAATGCAACGCAGGACACATTCGATGTTTCGGGGTCTGCATGGTCCCCATGGTCGATGATCGACTGGGTGCGACGGCCCGAGTGATCCGGCCACTCTGGAACTTGCTGGACCTTTGGCATCCTGCGTTTGGGTGCAGCTTGCAAAAAGCCTAAAGGAACGGAAAGTTGGTCGCATCTACTATGGGAAGGTCTCACGGACAGTGGGTTCTCAAGCTTTGGACCTTCAGTGGCGACATAGCCTCCTGCTTAAAAACATATACGTAGTGAAGGGAATGGTGGGATAGGATGAGAATCGGGTCAGTGAAACCTCCTGAACAAAGACATCATGTTCAGTCACATCGGGTTTGCACTGCATCAAGAACATCATGGCGGCCTAGAGTATCTGATTGTACTTTTCTGTAGGTTTCTGTGTGTACTCTGTGACGTGTGAACTCGTGTAAAGGTTCTCAAAAGAAGAGCATCTCGTCACTCACCTAATCATTGCTGGACGTTGGAGACTGTGTTGGAGACTAATCGTTTGAAGCCAGCCCCAGAACAAACACCAGAATCTCCAGAGTGCCTATTCTCTGCTTCAAACATCTTCAGACTCAGTCGCGGTCCGCTGTCGGGAGGTTTAGACCTACGATGAGCTCAAGCTGTTGGCTCAACCCGACATACCCTGACCGCGACGGATGAAATATGACCGGCTGCGTGCCTGTTTTGTGGAAACGACGGTGTAAGACAACTGTTCTCAGCAGAGGGCAAAATCAGGAATCAAGCAACCCCTGTGTGCGCTGAACACCAGCGCGTGAAGTGAATGAATGGGTTGAAGCAGCGGGGCCTGTTGGTTCCAAACCTGTCAACTGTTTGGCACCCCCGGTGGCCTTGAGCCACCCCCAAGCAACTGAAGTGACTCACCTGCTGAAGAACACCCTTTTGGCCTAAGGCTCCATCGTTCCACTCAGAACTGACTAAGCCGCTTCTGGGCTTTGAGCCGTTTGGTGGCACAAGTGTTCATACGATGTCATAAGATTGCGTCTCAAAAAAATATCTCAATCACAAGGAGGCCCGCACTCTTCATGACAGTTGAATCTCCCACCCCGCCGTCGACGGGGACAAAGGAATTTTACATCCTGACTAGCATTGTAATCTTCGGCGTCGTGATTGTGGTCATCTTCACCGTCGTGATTGTCGTCTTCTGCTTCAGCTCCATCATCCATCTCGTTGGCATCACCTTCGGGCTCTTCATGATCGTTAGGATCATCAGCAGGCTGCTTCCTTAAGTGCAGCAATGCGTGCTCCTCAGGATCAAAATCATGATGAGCAGGAAAAGGCTCAACCTCGGCGCACTTCAAGCAGCCCCGTGGCAAAAGCTACAGCTACATACATCCTGCATACACATGCAAAATCAACATCCTGTAGTCATGTCTGGGCTCCACGCGGCTAGTGGAGTGCTGCAAAGCAGCAATAGGAGAACCTCATGCCAAAGACAAAGCTTTCTGTTAAAAGCTCACGAATCTGGATTCATTTGCGCATGTGTGCATCCAAAGCACTGGGCGCAGCTTCATGGTGAGCTAGGGAGGTGACACGGCCGGGCCCCCTGTTGGCCAACGCTAATATATAATACTATTTGGGCCAAGCACTGCGAATCATCCAATGAACTTCCGGGACTGTTTCAGCTTGCAGCTTGCAGCTTGCTCCATACATCCAGGGACAACGGGCAAGCGAACATACTGAACACTCTCACCGTTAGAAGAGCTACAACGATTAGCCACCCTAAAATTGAACAGCAAGACAAACTGAAGACCTGGGAACCCAACACTCGCCCCAACAATCAAGAAACAACATCAAAGCAAAGGATACCACTTAAAAGTTAAAATTAATTGACATACTAACATTGAAGCCCAAGAATAACCCTGTTAAAATCCTTTTTACATTTTCCCTCCAGGACTCCAGGAAGACTGAGCAAAATGCAATCGACATCTAGTAATTAGTGACAGTGGTCGTTCTGCTTAATTGTGCGTGGATAACCGGTCGAGATCAGCACACACTGCCAAGTCATTTGCATGGCTGGCATGGCGCAATGCTGACACCAATCTGAAACCGTACTTCAAGTGGAAGAAACTTCCGATCATTTTTGAGAGAAACCACCGACTGGTCACTGGTCTGCCTGTGGTCTTTGACGAACTGTTCTGTCAATGCCGAGGCTCCATCTTTGCCTCTGACCGAAGAGTTCCAAACTCCTCGCCGATGATGCCATGGCTGGGATACCTCCAAACCATTCCAAAGCACCATGCCGGATGGGCCAGCGGGGTGGGAAAACCGCATCTTCCACAGATCAACAAGCGGCCGATGAATGGCATGTTTGGTTCCAAGAGGCCGGTAAATGCCGATCGAAACGCGCGTCCAGAAGGGAGTGAAGTTGGATGAAATGGATGACTTGGCTGTACCACACAGGGGGTGCCTAGAACGAACCTATACTGTATATGTAATAAATTCGCAGCAATGTACCAGTTGCAGAGAGAAAGCAAACAATAAAATAACCAGTACACGCCAGGTGAAGGAGCAATCCCAATTGGTATTAGATGTGCGTATATATGTATATGTCATTAATTTCATTAACACGGTCCCTTCCTCCAAGGGAAAACAACTAGTAAAACTACGAGATGAAAGGATAGCAAAAACACATGCAATGTTTGTCTGCAACTTTTCTGCCAATTCCGGAAATCGATGGTGGGAGCATCGAGCCTTTTGAGAGGATGCCTTCCGGGCAAATATGAACCTCGACAATCCTTGATGTTCGGGGCTGACTTCCATCCAATTCCTCTGGCTCTTGTTCTGAAGTTTCTGAAGCAAACCTGCAATTCATGTGCTGGGGGGCAGAATCCCTTTTTCGACGACGCGGGCCACACAAGAGTGAGGGAAATGAGGATTTGGCAACACCCCTCAGGCGTTGCAGCATCGTCCCTTCATAAGGGTCTATGCGCTGTGAGACGAACTTTCATCTTGGGATCTACGGCGATCTAAGGACAAAAGTGGAGAAAAATGGTTGCATTCCCTGAGTTCAACCTGAGGATGCAAAAAGGCGTCTTGCGATGTACATCTTGTGACTCTAAAACATCTTCAAACACCATCTGCCCAGCAAAAACATTTGTCAAACAAAGAAAACAACATGATCAAACAACGTCTAACATTGTTTTTTTGACAATTCTTGAAGATCCGGAGTATGCAACCTGTCAAGTCAACTCCAGGAGGTTGGCTCATTCCTCGAGCCGCAGCTTGAGCTTGCGATCCCCCAAGGAGTTGTCGACCCTTGCCACGGTGGGCCAAAACTTGCCACGCTGTAAGAGCCACGGCGCAGGGAAGGCGGCCTCTTCCCGGCTATACGGGTGAGTCCATTCGCTGGCGCAACACTCATGTTGAGTGTGTGGCGCATTCTTCAAGGGATTGTCCTCCGCGGGCCACTCACCGCTTTCGATCTTAGCAATCTCCTCAAGGGATTGGACAAATATGTTGGCGAAAGGCCGCAACCGTCAGAACAGAATCATCAAATGAATCAACATAGATTCTCGGGTTTTGTTCAGCAGGGTCACGGCCTTGTTAGCGACCATGAGGTTGGGAGGTGTGTTCGGATGCCGGGCCGAGACTTTTGCTTGCGTCCCTTTGTCGTCATGGATCTTCTTGGATGCTGGGCTGAGACGATTCTGCTTTGTCTCCCTTTGTCTCTCATGGCTCTTCTTCTTGGATATTTGAATTGGGAATGACCCAACCTGACCCGTATGCTTTTGGTCAACTGGGGTTGGGCACTGCAACAGCAAGCCACATTGGCCAAAAACATCAAGCTGTCGCCGCTGTTTCGGGTTGATGCTAGAGTAATTATTGTGAAGCTGCTTCGGCAAATGCATCCAAATACATATGCACGTGGAAGCACGTCCAAACGAACATCATCAACCCCCCACCCAACCCCCCTTGCGGATGCATGTAGAATCACATCTCCTTGCGGATGGAGATCATGGAATCGCAGAAGCGATCCAACTCGGCCTTATCTTCAGACCTGAGAAAGTGTGAAGGTTTGAGACGATTCTCATCGGCCTGTTAGGGCAGCGGGCATGCGTTATCCGGCCGTTGGAGAGGTGATGCGATTATATGCGATTCTTCAGGTCGGGGACATGGTTATGATATGTCATGACCCCATGCCCATAATCATAAAGCCTGAGACATGTCAGACGTGTCAAGCTTCCAAAGGATGCTTTGTGCCATGTTCAGCCAGCGACTCCATGACTCTGAACGAGTGTAGCTACATCTGTGCATGGACTTGGTCGCTTCCTACTGCTGACCGACCAGCAGCAGCTTGGAATCCTGCAACTACCTGGCTGACAAGGACAAATGATCACATATGAGGCTTGGTGGGAAAGCCGACACAACTCACTTGACCCGCTCCCGGGTCGGTTGAAGAAGCATCTCGTATGAAAGCCATTACCTGGCTGGGGTAGGGTCTTGGCGCCAGAAAAGTAAGCATATTAACATATTACTTAACATATTATATAAGACTTTACATGAATTCCAGGCTTGCTATGTGGCATCTGGAAGCAGGGTTTGACGCAAAGAGACAAGTCGCACAACTCCTCCCTCCTGAGCCAAGTCGCAGTAGGGGTAGCCCAAAGAGAAACATCACAATGATACAACATGATACAACATGCTACTGCAAAAAAGGACATAGATTACGATGGCTTAAAGATCTCCTACACCCTCTGAGATGCGACTCCAGGCTCCTACGGCTGCACTGCGTTGCCAAGGAGCTCGGTGGGCTCGATCATCAAGGAGTGCGGCACAGGCCAAGACATGGTCGGAGCATGGAAACCATAGTCCTGGAAGAGGACAAGTGGTTTCTGCAGCTGAGGTTTGGACATGTGGTTTCATGTGGTTTCTGTGACTGTGGGGCACCCAAAGACACTTGGCGTTCTTCAATGAACTATCATTCTTGTAGGCGGGATGACTGGGTGGCAATGCACCATCATAGGATGTTGATGAGGACAGGCACGTTATATATCACCCAAAACACCTTTCAACATGTCATCTCCCCAAAGGCGACGCATCTCGTCCTGCAGGCGCTTGGCAATGTCTTCCTCGACGATGCCGGTCTTCTTGCGGATCTCGGAGAAGTCCATGATGAACTCATGGGCGCACTTGTTGTTCCTCAATCATGGGCACTTGTTGTAGCAATCAAAAACCACGATATCAACCCAGCCTTGGCTCTTCAGGAGTTCTCATCCTCCACTACTTGTCTCAAATTTTGACTGTCAGCTGGATCTTTGTCCACTCGAAGATTGGGCATCCGACCCTGCACCAGATCTGGCAGCCAAGTGGCTGGCACTCACCGCCAAAGTGCGGGGTCTTCGGTCCAAAATGTCAACTTATCCAATTACGCCTTTTGACTGCATCCGAAGCTCTTGTTGGTGGGTGCAATGTCGAAGTGGGGCTCCAAACGGGACTTCATGTAGTTGGCGTTCAGGATGGAATACCTCCCCAAGTTTACAAGAAACTTATCCAAAACACCTGTGATGTGGACATATTCTGGGCGGGCAAATGTGGGAAACAGGTCAGTGCTGCATATGAGATCTGCTCAAAGACTGAAATCGCAAAACTGTCGAAGTTAGGCCACATTTTTGGTTCATGTTTTTCAAACCTCCCTAGGCCAATGTACCACCCGACTCTCAATATGTTCAATCTTTTGTGGTCTATGATGGAGGCTCAAACAATGTTCGTGGCTGGCACCCCGGAAAAGTATTCTCTGCTTCGCCGCCCTGCCTGGCACTGTCCAGGACGCCCTGCTTTCCCAACATGGTGCAAAACATCCAAGGGATGCAAGCGATGCCGGCCTGTGGATTGCAGTTCATGCTATGGATCTTTTGTCTTGCAACCACTGCACAATTCGGTCAAGGCATCCAAAGCCGCCAACTAGCTAGCCCAGCCGATTCATTCACTATGATTCAATTATATTTACAATATATACCCATATCCTATGATTAATGAACATGGGCCATCAGTATGTATGCATGTCTGTCTGTCTCTATCTCTGTCTGTATGTAAATGGGTTCCAATTTCTCCGTCGCAAGAAAGGTGCCCTTCGACAACCCTCGCCTGTCCCCAGGGTGCCGCGGAGACGGCGCCAGCGGGCTCGCTGCCAACGCTGGAGGGCTGCACGACACAGTGGCCTGGGAGATGCTTGGCCAAGTGCTTCTTGACCTGAACGGATGTGACACGCATCGTGGCCCAGGGATCGCTGCAGAAAATTCCGTTGGTCCGTTGGTTGCCCCGAAAGAAATTGCAAAGAGCAACCACCGTCACCACTACCAACATCACGGTCATAGCCATCATCATCATTATCATCATCATCATACAGGTGTACAAATGCAGGTGCTACTGCAGTTGGTGCAACGCACCTTTTGTTTTCTTCTTGCGGTTGCCGAGCCTGTGGCCGCACATGCACCGAATTAACACAAGCCATTGTGGAAAGCAGGCCCTCGCCCAGCTGAAGCATCAGCTGAACTGGGACCCTGTTTCCAAGCAACCAAATCAAAAATTGATGCGACACTGCACAGGCCTACATCCTAGGAAAAGGCAAAGGCCAACAGGCCAACAGCAAACAAAAGGTGGGTTTGTGCACCTACGAGCTGAGGACGGTCCACTTGCCAAGCGCTCACACCAAGAAGATCGGGAACAGCTTCTCAGCTGACCCGCCGCAGTCGGGATTGGAGAAACAAGCGCGGGATTTCAAGTCACAAACGTGCCACAGTATGCCTGCACGCGCAGGCCATCACATTGGCACCTCCTATACGCCCTGCGCATTTGCGCAGCTCTCCTCGAATGTACTCCAGGTAGTGACCGAAGCATTGTAGGGTCATTCGAAAGCAACCGTTCCAGGTACTTTCACTGAAACTTCTTCTCTCTTTGCCCTGCATGTACTTCAGGTAGTCTCCGAAGCTTTGTAAGGTCATTCGAAAGCCACCACTCAAGGTACTTTCACTGCAACTGCTTGTCTCTTGCCTTGCATGTACTTCAGGCAGTCACCGAAGCATTGTAGGGTCATTCGAAAGCAACCATTCAAGCACTTTCACTGCAACTGCTTGTTTCTCTGCCCTGCATGTACTTCAGGTAGTGTCCGAAGCTTTGTAATAGGGTCATTTGAAAGCCACCATTCAAGGTGGTTTCACTGCAACTGCTTGTCTCTTTGCCCTGCATGTACTTCAGGTATTGTCCGAAGCTGTGTAGAGTCAGTTGAAAGCCACCATTCAAGGTGGTTTCACTGCTTGTTCTCCTCTCCTGACCTCTCATGGCCCTGCACGTGCTTTTGCTTAAGAAAGTGCAGAGCCTGCATGGCACAAGGCCTGGCATACAGGCCACTGGGGCACGCGAGCTGTTCTAATCTGCAGCATTAGCAGCTAGCAATCTCGGTGTTATGATACAGGTGTTCAGATACAGTCGTCGAACAATTTGAGTAGCAACGGCAAAGTTGCCAAAGTCTTTACAGCAATTGGCGTCGAAAGCCAAGGTGGTGATTAACTGTCGTGGGCTCTGGCCTCAGAACTGGCAACTTTGTAGTGCAAATGTTGAAGTAGCTTCTGGGGGCTCACAACTGCCAAGTTTGAACTAGCGGGAAGCAGCTTCTTGGGTGGTCTGGCCTCTCAACTGGCAACTTTGTAGTGCAACTGTAGTATGGAAGGTGGCTTCTGGGAGCTCGGGCTCAGAACTGACAACTTTGTAGTGCAAATGTAGTATGGGAAGTAGCTTCTTTGTCCCACAAGAATGTCCCTGCGAGTGTAGCACATGAGTGCCGCACAGGATCCCACAGGTATGTCTTGAGATTATCACATCTACTCTATCTTGGCATTAGCACCTTATGATGATCACAATTGCATCACCATCATAAGCATCGTCGTCATAATCGTTACCGTTACCTTGTGTCATCTCCTACTGTGCTTTGAGGCCACCCTATGCATATATCTGTGCATGGTGCAAAGGATGGTTTGTGGGATGTGGTGCACTAGCTGCAGCTTGCCACACACACACACATATAATAAAAAAAAGGCGGGGTAGCATCTTGCCTAAAAAGAGGAGCAAAAGCCTAATTGAACACGCACATAGGATGACCTTCTTTGCTAGACATGCAGTGAAGTCTCAGAATCGGTGTGCAACGTGTGGCTTTGCAACGTTCCATCTCCCCTGCCAGCTAGTGGCGCAAATGGGCCCGAGGCCAGGTCCTCCTCCACCGTGAGGAATGCCTTGCACAGGGCCATGCGCCCAGGGGTCGTTGGTGCAACTACATGAGGGAGTTGACATGAGGAGTTGAATTCATCATGACGGGCCCCACGCAGAATCCGCATCAATAAAGTGATCGGAGCAATCTTAAAGGAGATTTGATTTTTCTGGACAGCGTCTGTTGGTGGGGGTGCTAGGAAACAAAAGGTTCCTTTTATATAATTAGGTTTCAGGTCACGAATTTCCACGTGAATCCATGACTTGGCCCCAAACGACCGGCGTCCTGAACCAAAAACATGAGGGGTTCATCTAGTTCCTACCAAGCATGGAGGTTCTTTCCCGGTCTTAAATGGGCAATTTGCAACACATCTCTGACCCTTGATTTTTCTTTTGTTTGATGACCGCTGGTTCATTCCGTCATGTCCATCATCAGCCTACTCAGGCCATCTTAGCCTAGCTGCTGAAAGTCTTGTGGAGGTTCAAGTGGCAAACATCTGCGCCGATAATGCCAGGAGAGGTCAAGCCCAGCTGCGCATTCATGTTGGCCTCAGCGCATTCCGCTGTAGGGCGCTGGTACGAGCCGATCAGGAAACTTAGGGGAGGCAACCAACATGTGGAACTTTCAGTTGCCAGGGCCAGGCATCTCTTCCCAATCGCTGGGTAGAATTTCTGTGGCCGATTCACCAGACAAGTTATATAAGTAGCACGAGAAGGACTCCCTTCTCGACTGGTCTGTCATGGTGAATCGATGAATCCACATCCCCCCACGACGGGAAACGTCGGTGAAACGTCCATCATCCGTCGTTCTGTGGCCACGAATCGACTGGCAGAATCGACGGTGTTTCTTGGCTCAGTTCATCCAACGTTGCTGTCGTGCCGATTCGGCTGCACGTGCGCGTCGGGGCTGAAGAGGGTGTTTCATGCTTCACGCGTGGTTTTCTCAGAGGAGCCAGGAGTCCACGGGATAGAATCATCTCACGGTCGTGCTTGTGTGTATTACATTAAGATCACCCAAGATTCTAGCAATTTACCACTCCCCTATGCGGTTTACATGTGACTTTGGCGTTCGATCCATATCACCAGCTGAAAAAACTGTAAATATAAGCAAATTGTGCCAAATGCAAGGCAGGGTGGACCTGCAAAAACATCACAACACTAAACTCAATGTACGGTATTATGTGCCTGTCTTGAAAGTGCCAGCCATGACATCACCGCTGACGTTATGGGAAGAAACACATACACCATAATGAGTATTGCAAGGAGTCACAAAAGATGCGGCTCTACCGATTCTAGTTTCAACATGACCCACTTGTGCATTAGAACAAGATTCCAGGGGCTGTCAACACCTCGAAACAAACAGGCCAAAAGCCAAAGCGACATATAATATACAATCAATTCATTATATACGCACGGCATTCGTTTTGTTGCATTCTCTGCAGGTGGAAAACCTTAAGACGCAGGCAAGCATTCCCTGGTACCAAATGGTATACCATATGCATGTACCACCAACCTAAGGCATGATCATATATGCCTGATAACCCAGCATGGGGGCAGTACTCCCTTTAGCGCGCCATAGGGTGGTGTGAGGGTGGGGCGTGCAAACTTGAAGGCAACCTGCACCAGGTAAGGAGAAGGGGCCCACCCGGCCTTTCAAAGGCTACCCTGGATGCAGGCATCTAGGTACCGATTTCAAGTCAAGCCCCAGAAACAAGGAAACAACGCTCATATGTGCACCAGTCCCGATGGTCGTTGGTGCACTTCTCCATGCCGATGGTTTGCACCGAGTGGCGCCATCCATGTAGACTTGTCCACCGAACTCGTGCACTGTCGCGCAAATCCTTGGTGTGTTTGGCTTTGCCAGGGGTCTCTGCGAAATGCATGTCGGCATTGCAACCCGTAGTTTCCACGGGAATGAACTCCCGCAAAGGAGGCTGTGACTCTGTTTTTTCATGCAGCTGGTTGTAGCTGTGGCTCTCTTGGATGTTATCCTCGAAGAATGCTCGAGTCGAAGGATAGGTCACCATCAGGCATGCCAGGCGATCCTGGAATTGTGGGAGGTTTGCAAAGGCATAAGCCGTAAGCCCACAAAGCATTTTAGATGGTATGACTGAAAAAACTCCTTCCCGTTGGGACTTGCATCGTCTCACTGCATCGTCTAGCACCCCGATAAACGAGGTCTTTCAGAAACAAGAAGTGGGGGCAAACGGCCTGTCTTCAGTTAAAAAACATGCTCGTCCGAAGGAGTCGAAGCTATTTCCGAAGCTAGTGGCCTCTTGGGTTCGACTCCATGTGACAAAAAACGACTGATCAACACGAACGTGCAGGAGCCAGTTCCCTCTGTACCAGTGAAGAACTCCAAAACATGTTCGGTAGGGTGGTTTGCAAGTGACGACTCTCCTCTTCCACTCCACTGGAGAATTCAGCTTTCAGGTTTGAGGTGGCCAACGCAAAGCCTGATTCAGTGTAGATCGTCGCGCCTTGTGTTCTGCGCACAAGGCCTTGAACTCTGCAATGTCCATGCCTGGTCAATGAATATGGTTCATCGAGTCCAAATGGTGGGTCAAACACCGCAAACGTGAACACCACACTGTCTAGAGATCATCCCGTGGTTTCTCACAATGAAATACGGATGTGTTGCTATTGGTCAAGAAGCCATCCTCTCATTAAACATTAAACAATGAAACCCTTTCTTCAGCAGGCATCCGATGGATCTCTGCCCATACCTAGTGACATATATGGGAATGCCGGACTCATGAGTCGAACTGGTGACCATTGGTGCTCCAGTAAGTCAAGCCACACACACCTCTAGACCTGGTGCTTGGAATGGGTACACGTGCAGAATCACTAGGATCGGTCGGCTGAAAGGTCGGCTTTTCAGGAAACCAGGAGGCGAATTGTGTTATCACATTTTCGTTTACCTGAACATGCTCCTAAAATGGATTTGTAGATACAAATGAAAGTCGTGGATTCCGAGCATCTTTCTCAGACTGAGCTTCTACCCACACAGGGACCAAACATTGATATGCCTTCTATGCTTGGTATAGGCCTTTTCTCTATGTTCGACCGGCAGGTTCGATCCGCTGGCTGCCTCTAGAATCTTCGATCCATTTGATCTCCTTGGAGAGCACCCGACGTGATCACGTTGGAAGCACCCGAAGCTCTGCATTCTGCCAAAGGCAGTTCTTGCCCCTAACAAAAACCAAAAGGGAGGGCCGAAATACACCAGCGACCCTTGATTTGTAGTGGCCCCCAACAGGTAGAAATGCCGTTGAAGACTGTTTGAGTGGGGACTTACTTTTGGATCCCTTCGGATACCTATTTTATTGATATGTTGTATTGACTGTTGACTGGACGTGCTACCCTAATTTCCTCGCGATCCTGTTCTTTGGGGGGAAACTTGCCTCCGCCGCCAAACAAACAAGCAAGCAGGGTCAGGGCAGGAAGTGCACCACTGCGTATATTAATGATTCAAAAAGAAATGGGAGAAGTTGTGGCTTCCCCACAACTTCAGAACATACCTGGTCGCAACTAAAGATTGTTGAAACCCCATCAGCTCCAACCCTGGGCAGCCCATTGCGCACCTGCAGCCCCATCCTGCAGGATGGAAAAGGACTAAACCCCAGTTTGTGAGGGCAATTGTCAGAGGTCACACGACGTGACTGTGACTTTGGAGCTTGCTGGGTGGGTTTTAAGGATTCCCCACGCGGTTCATGCCACCACGATCGACGATTAAGACACTCCCGAGTCTCCATGCCGCACATGGCTGCGCTGGCGGGGTTGGTTCCATGGGCACTGCGGGGGATGATGCACACGTCCCGATGTCCTGGGCAAATCCAAGGAGAAAAAACCGGAGCAACTCATGTCACGAGCTGGCGCTCGTAAGGGTGTGAAGCAAAGCTTTGCAAATGCCCATGATTTGGGATGGAATCGGCCAGGAAAACCGTGGGTTTGACTTTCTTGCGGAGGACAGCCAACACTTGATCAGCAACTGACCCTGCGAGGCACAAAGTCAACTGACCCTGCGAGGCACATCATGATCAACCTGATTTGGGATGGTCGATATTCTATCTAATCCAGGGTGACTATGCATTGACTGGTCAAAAGCTTCTTCTTCCATCTTCTTCAGCCTCCCCCATGCCCTGTAAGACATCAATCTATGACCACATGAGGATCGTCTTAGGGGGGGTTGGCATTGCAGGACCATGAGGTATTGACCGAACATCTTCCCTTTTACATGTTTGGGTTCCCTGCACCCCACCCCCTTTCGTTTCGCAGTAGTCCTTTGTGACACCCACGGGTCCTTGTCCCTGGGCTTCCAAGTACTTCTTGATGACCAGCAAGCCCGCATACTCACCACTCGCACCGCTGGTGGGTTGCAGGGAGCAAGCGTCGAAGCCAGTCACGCTGATCAAATACTTCCTGCCAGAAATGCGGCAGCTGTGGAAGGACATCGGCGGACAAAGGTACCATCTGTCTGACTGTCTGTGGTATATATATATATATAGTGTCCGTCCGAGGTTTCACATCTATAGATCCATAACGATCTCATGTATATAGATGCATATCCATATAGTATACCATACTAGTAGTGACTATTGTGGATCCAAAGATCCATATTGTTAAAGCATACCATAATAGTCACTATAGGTCCGGAAGTTCACCACGCATGCCGCACGTGGCAAAACTTTGCTCCCGGTGATCGGTGGCGAATGCTGTGAAGCTGGCCATTGGATGGGGTGATCATGAGCTAAGTGCCCTGGGTGGGTTTCAGCGTCCACACACCATTCAAACCACCACCCAGATGTTTCAAGTGAAGACAAGGCTTACCTTCGGGGCAGGAATCAATCAGGAACCCACCCACATCTGGGTGACCACCGGCTCCAGGCCCACGAAGATCTGCAAGTTTGCCCTAAAAAAACATCACATTAACCTTTACGCTTTGGATTGGTGCAATCTGATACAACCTCCCCCCAAAAAATCACTGTCAGATCCTGTCAGAGCTCTTCTTGCTTCTTCTTTGCTTCTTCGCTCGCCCGGTAGCGAGAAGAAGAGGAGCCGTCCCGCGGTCCGCCCCGGTCCACCCGGCCCGGGGAAGCGGCCGAGGAGCTCCAAGGATTCCAACATCTCCCGGTAGCCAGCGGTGTGGCTGGCCGGAGCGAAGGGATGCATGTTGGCCTGGAGCGAGCGGAGGGGGCCGATGCTTGGTTGAGTGGGGTGGGGTTGATCATTTGGTGAACAAATTCGGGAGTTGGCAGCTATATTTTGGCATCGAGTAGGTTGTTCAAAGGTTCATATTGGAAGGCTTTCCAGCTGTAACTGTCCCTTTAACAAATGTGTCAAACATCTGTCCTCTGTCTGTCCTGCCTGCTGTCCACACGCTAAGGCACCTTCCAAGAAACCGCACGCTCCGCTCAACGTGCCTCAATATACCATGGCGAGCCCAACCTGCCCATCCCTCGCCTTCAAGAAACACCCAGCCACTCCCACAGGCCCAAACCAGGCCCCTCCAGCCCAGGCGCCACTTCCGGCCAGCTGCAGGGGGCCAAAGAGGAGACGGAGTTCAGCTTCATGGTGCAACTGCCCAAGGAGATCATCGAGGTATCCAGCGCCAAATCCTTCCTGATTGAGTCCAAAGGAGTTTGAGATCTGCGACGCCCAGAACGGAGGGCGTCCCAACAAAAGAAGTCACCCATCTGAAATCAGGAGGGCACTAACGGGCACTAGGCCTATTTCCTAGTTGTTGGACAACTGTTATCTCATTGGCTTCCGGTGTAAGGCTCTTCTGCAAGGTGTGCAAGTAGCGCATGAGCTCCGTCTCCGAGGAAATGCTGTTGAAGATCTTCTGCTCCAAGAATTTCCCCGTCCTCTCACCAAGCAGCAGGCACATGTGGCTCAAAATGTCAAAGTTCCAGGTGTCTTTGTTCAATTTTCACTATATAATAGTCAGTGGATGTAGGAAAGTGTCTGAGCTTGCTTCCTTGTGTGAACCACGGGTGCTTAACATCGCCTGCTAGACTCTAAGTTAGACTTAACATCGCCTGGGATAACCAGGGCTTCAATTGAAATTAAATACGGTCCTTCAAGCACAAACGATCCTCCTTGGTACACGCACTCGCGGACGATCCACTCCTACCCAGTACCTTCCTGATTTGGCACAGCTGTCCAGAACGAAGTTCATTCGGATCCAATACAGCTAAACAGTCTCATCACATCCGTTTCTTCTCCTGTAACACACCCAGCATTGAACATATCTTTCTTCGAGCCTAGAAACGCCCAAAAGACTCCCGCTCCTAGGTTGGAGGCCATCGCTATTTGGTTGGAGGCCATCGCTAGCATTGGAGACCATCGCTAGTAGCTTAGGTTGGAGGCCGAAGAAAACCAAAGCAAAATCAACCCCCTCGGCTCGGTGCCTGGCAAAGGCCGTCGGCAGCTTTCCATCCACCGCAACGGCGCCGGCACCGGCGCCCGTGGCAGCGCCGGCGGCTTTCAGGGCGGCCACCAACACGGCAATGTCTGCCTGACCAGGCCAGGTCGGGTCTTTTGTTCAGGCGGAAGGAGTAAGTCAGTAAAAAATGTTGAAACCAAATGTGGTGTCAAAGTGGGTTGGGATGACAAACACACTTGGACGACGCTGAAAAGCCAAAGCGAAAAAGCGTTGGCTCTCTGAAGTCCGTGCGCCAACTTTTGCAGTAAATGAACATATTTGCCTGCCATGGTTTCCTTGACGCTTGATATAGTGTTGTTCCTTGCTTGCCTCTAAGTGAGTCTCATCGAAGGAAGCAGCCAAGGTCTTGTCATCCAACAGCCGCAAGTTCATCTTCTGCTTCTGAAGCTCCTCGAAGGAGGAGGGCACCCTCCAGGCTTCTGGCGAAACAAATTAAGAGGAAACACCATGGCATCCTGCTGCGGTTTTGGAAAAAGCGGAACTGCAGAACTATTCCCTAACAAAAATCATTACAGTTCTCAGGTGGGGCCTCAAGAGCCAAAATCCTCTGGACATCGTGGAGCTGCAGTGCAAACGGAGTGCAGAAATACTGCGCATGTCCCAGTGTCCGTGGGTTGCTCAGGAGATCTCAGGAGTCTAGGTGATTCTCACGTGGCAACCTGAATGAATTCCAACAACAGCAATGGCATATCAAGAAATGTCCACTTGACTAAACCAGGCAGGTTGATCAACGTTTTGTTCGTTTTGCCTTTTATTACCACACCTCATTCAACACCAAGGCCACATCTCCGGATCTTCCTCCGTGTCATTCCCCGCTTTCCCAGTCGGACCGGGAAAATCCGGATGACACCCTCCTCAAGGACCGCCTTGGCCTTGGGGGTCTCGAATGTGACCTTTTCTGGCGCAAGCGCTCGGCGGATCGCTGAAACAGCCTCTATGCAGCTGTATTTGAGAAGTAAGGCAAAGAAGAAACATATGTAGAAAACATACTTCTTGCATGCGGTACATTGCATTTGTCATGTAAACTGCGTGTCATGATTTCTCTCAGCAGTGTCACCTGGTGGCAGTCAAAAAATATCGAAATCCAGCCAGCAGTAGGAACGTGTTCTCATTGTTCTTGCTAACTTACTTGCGACTATTGCTTAATTAGCATGCCTACCATAATCTCATAAGCTGTATTGCTGTTTCTGCCAATATATTTGATGCAAGCTTATTGCCAATCATGTTCCAACCCAATGACAAGTCTTGCATATGGTGATGTCATATGGACATGACTTGTCTGATATATGCAATTTCAAGGATAACCAGCACACAAAGCAATTTTCTTTCTGTGACGATTGGTCCTTGGTCAAAGCTCTCTGCATCTTGTCTGTCCATGTGCTGAGAGTGGAAATGGCCAAGGCACCACGAAAGAACTAGCCAGTGCTGCGCTGGGGAACCGCTTCGCATGACAGAGTACCAAAAATCCCAGTGGGTGGCCAATCCATTAAAAATCTTGCCACTCTGTTTCGACGCTGACCTTTCTGCATAATTAAGTCATAATCATAATTGATATCACACTTATAAAAAAGAAAAGCAAATGGGAATTTTGTTGGAGTTCTTTCACCTTTGGATTGCCCCCCTGGAGCCCGGCGCGGTGCGAGCCGGTGGCGCTCCGACCCGTCGAGGGGCGGTGTCGAAGAAGGCCTCGCTGCTGGTCACCGCCACACCGGCCTTGGCGGCCTCGGAGGCGAAGAGCTGCGCCAAGCCATGCACCTCATGGCCCCAGTGGCCGGTGCAGGTCGGTTTAGAGGGTTGGAAGGTGTGCACCGGCTACATGCTCCATGTTTCAAGGTAACCTTTAACCCTTCTTTAAAAGTAATTAGCAAAATTAGCCACACACGATTGAGACACACGTGCTTTTCTGATGAGTTTTCCCTTCCAAATGATTGCCATGTCAACTGGCAGCTAGGCACATGTTCCCGTATCTTGATGGATGCAGCTCCTGCAGTCCTGAAGTCCGAACTGATATCTTATTACTGGTCGTGCTAGTGGGCATAACATTGCCACCATGGGCTTTACCAACCAAATTGTTGTGCTGCTGTGCATTGACACCTCTCAGCTTGGATGCCAATACCTTGGTATACCCGAAGAAACAACAACCTATTAATCAAGATGTAGGTTCCGTGTGAGAAAACAAACGAGATTTTGCGAGAAAACCCAGCATTTTGATTGTGATGATTCTTGCGGATGTTCGCAAGACTAACATGATCTGACACGTATTTTGTCTTACAAATTCTTACACATTGCACAGTAAACATGTTGATGAGCGTGCCAGCCACAAAGATTCACTACAAAGTGATGAAATGGCGTCCTCTGGGCAAGCCATCAGAACCCATAGATTTCCTACGGGTCTCTACGAGTTTTCTACAGTACAGGTTGGGAACAGCCGAGGTTTTTCTGAGAACCTTGGCTTTTATGGGTATCCACGGATTCGCCATGGTTTGCCTCGGGTTTTCTACGGGTTCGCCGTCCACAGCATCAGCAATGCATGTTTTCCTCTTACATGGTGTCCTAATATCATCATGGGCACCTGAAAGAAACAATGTTTTGGCATGATAAAGGAACATCTTGGTGGGACATAGACAATTCATGCACATTTCCTCACAACGCCCTTTTCTGGCAAAATTCGAGGTTTTCACTGAAAAGCAACAGGTTTTGACGACACCCACAAAAGCCGAAGTCCTTGTTCAGAACCTACAACTTTGTAGGTAGTGATTCTCGAGGTATATATTTGGAAGTCTGGTCTGGCACCTCTGCAACTCAGGAACCACCAACAATCTTCACTTCAAAATTCAAAAGGAAGAACAAAACAGTGTTTGAGCTTTCTATGGCCACTCTCTGGCTTCATCAAATTCAGCTCATCTCCAGTTCTAATTCTCCAAGTAAAGAAGGAACAACCATCCTTCTGTTTCTCAGCGTGAATTGTGCCATCGAAAAAACCCATCGCCCAGCCACCCGCTGTGCGATCCGTTGCAGACCGTCCTTGCGATGATACACCGCATACCTGGGTGAGCGGGGGATGGGCATACCGTCCACTTCGACGCAAGTTGACCCAAATATACCGAAGGCTCCTAAACATCCTCCCTGGCAGCTGAAAAGACCTTTCTGGTACATACCGTGCCAGCCAACATGGCTGACAAGCCACTCTCAAAGTACACATGAATGACTATGGGCCATGTCTTTTCGTCCCACCCTTTGCCTTGTTAGTAGTTAGTTTGTCACACTTTTCATCCCTCCCGCATGTAGCAAGAACAAGGCAAACACTGTTTTCTCTTTTTGCGTGTGGGGGGGGAAAGAATGTATATACACAATTTCATAATGTCATTGTGTTGATGTGCCACCTCTTGTTGTGGCACCCAAAATCCCGGAAATAGCGCTCCAAATTCATGTTCATCATTGTTGAAACCCTTACCCCTGTGTGGGCAGGTTTTGTGTCAAGGTATGTAACCGACCCTCTAGACCCCCCGACACCCTTTGTGGAAGGTTCCTCGATTGGCGAGACACAACGTCCGCTCTTTAGATCAAGACCCTTCATCCTTTCTTCACCCTACCCCTGACAACCGTCATGTTGGTAACGCTACCCACGCTACCGAGGCACATGCCAGCCATATTGGCCAACAACACCTGGGCGGTGCAAACATTACTGGTAGCCTTGTCCAGGCGGATGTGCTGCTCGCGGGTCTGCAGGGTCAGCCGATAGGCGGGGTTGCCCAGGCCTTAGCACCCGGATTTTTGTGACCTACGAGTGGACTGAGCACCAACCACGCCCCGAAATGAACAAGACTAAGCCGGGATCTCTTCAAAATTACGCGGACGCGGCTAATGCCAAGAATGGAGAAACAATGAGAAACATAGTATTGATGAAAAGGGCCAATCAATGAAATTCATGGGGTAGGCCGGGATGTAGCTTGGTAGGACACACGCAGAGAACCCATTGTGCACAGCACGCAGCCGATGAAAAAAGTAAGCCTATGAGCCTGTTAGTTGGCTGCAAGAACCCAAGAGCCTATGTCTGAGCCCCAAAAATAGGTGGCAAATGGTTACATTAATGTTACATATATTGAATAAGTATAGCAATGCATAGCAAATATGATTGATCAGTATAGCAGTAACTGGTGGTTGTTTTGGTACCACCCCATGTGCTGGTTCTCTCCCATCTCCCACCCACCTGTTGGGCCAGAGTGGCGATCCAGGGACTCGCCGATCAAGCGGCCCGGCATGCGACGGACCTGTCGGGGTGTCACCCAGTGTCACCCAGCCCAGCGCTGGGTGACATGCAGCTCAGTGTTCACACATGTTCACACGGAAAAACCTGCAAAAACCATGCCTGACACCCCTCCAATCATCTCCAAAGCACCGATGACAAGCAAGTTCAGGGTTCTACTCCGTCCGGGCCCAAAGCTGGGTAGTAATTATGGTGCCGACGGAAACCGAAACCGTGGACGTTCCAATCGGTCGAATCCCCTCCAAAGCTTTGGTTTCTTCCCACCCTGGCGTCACTCCTTTCAGTTTGCACGGACACGTCACGAAATCCCGAGCACAGCTAGCACTCCCCGCCTGCTTCTTGGAGGTGGCCAAATAGGCGGCGGAAGGGCCACCGAACCTGAAGTCCCAGCTGAGAACTATCTCGGAGATGGGTCGTTCAACCGCTCTGGTCCACCCTGGAGCCCTGGTCCAGGGAGCCTGACTTACCCCAACTCCCTGGCATCCTATGGTGAAGGACCAGAAGCGATCGGATGTGCAAGTCTCAACCAAGGTCTCCTGGTTGTGACCCACAGCCATATAGATCTATATATATAGCACTTATAGCCTATAGCAGTATAGCATGTCTAAACAAAACATAATATGATAAGATGTGTATATATATATTATATATATATATGTATACGCACAAGTTCCAATAAATCATCTAATGAATGTGCTGAGCTGTGAGTTCTAGTGTGTTAGTTTGCAGTTTGGATCAGTTTGGCCGCCTAACCTCAGGTAGCTGAACTGAACCTTCCCAGCCAAAGCACTCGAAGGTGATTCTACAGATGCAAATTGCAAATTACTGTAACGTGGTGAATTTCAGTGAATGTGGTTTCAGAAATGGGAGCCAGGAGGTCCAAATGAACCGCAGGAACATGTAGCTCTAGGCGTACATCTCTCCCACCAGTTGACTCCTTGTGGGGTGTTGCCCATGTTCTCCCTGTGTGCAGGGTGTCCTTGTACCAGCGGTCACGGTCAGCGGTCAGTGTGGTGATTCTTTCCCATGTTTCCCTCTAAATCATTCTAAATCCACATCTTCCACCTCCGGACTTGGACCCTTCCAACACCTGAACCTCCATCCCTCTACATTCTACATCCCAACACCTGAACCTCACTCGTCCCCTCCACCTGGACTCCATCACCAAGGTGCCACATGGGCACTCCAAAGCGCTGCATCGAGCCCACCACCACGTCCGCGCCAAACTCGCTGGGCGGCTTGGCCACGACCAGGCTCAAGGGGTCGGCCGCCACCACGAAGTAGGCACCGTTCCTCCGGCCGAGGTCGGAAGGGTGTGGACACATGGGTGGATGGATGGATGGATGGATGGTGCTGGAGGTTTGGTGAAACCTCGCGGTGCATCAGGTGCAGTCCAAGTGACTTATGCAAGGCATCCGCGATACCATCGAAAGAGAAGAAGCGGCCACGAGTGTCGGGATATTGCACCAACGCACCGCAAAGCTTGTCCATGGAAGCAAAGTCGGTGGTGGTGTGGTCACCAATCACCTGAGTGTCCGTGGCTCGTGTTTTCCCCCAGTCCCTTCGATATCGGTTCTTGGGATGCCCTCGGACTGGTACCTGCTAGTCAAATGTGTGCCGTTTGTGTGTGTGTTGCATGGTCATGCTCAGTGAGCGGGAGTTCTTGAAACAGGTTGAAACCCAGAAAGTAAGCACATCATCTGCACTTGTCCCGCCTCTCCCGCCCTTTCTAGGCCAAAGCGCCAGCTCCATCCCGAAGTACTCTGCCCTGGTGCGGATGCAGTCAATGGACTGTGGATGGACGCTGTCGCTGATGAAGAACTGGTTCTTGGCCTCCGGGCTTCAGGCTTGGCCAGCGCACACAATCCGCATGTCCAGCACATCCACTTGCCACGATTGGCAGACTCATGAGATACCCTCAGTCCATGAGTCTGAAAGCCCCTGAGTCGGAACACACCGTCCAACCCACCCGAGCGTTTTCTTGGACGTTCTCACGCCTTGCTGTTCACCGCCCGCGCAATCATGGCCATGGCCTCAGCCGCGGCGGTGCCCTCGTCCAGCAGGGAGGCGTTGGCCACTTCCATCCCGGTGAGCTCACACACCAAGGTCCTCGGAGGAGCGTTGGGCTGGCATTCCTGGTGGATCCAACCGTCGGCACCTGGACGTCTGGGTTTAGGTTTCTACTCACTGGATGCTGATGTTCTTCATGGCGCTTAGTCCAACAATACTGTCTTGAATACGCCACTAGGATCAGGACAAATGCTTTTCTTCTTGAAGGTTCCAAATTGATAACCCTTTCCCCATAGAATCCTGCCAGAATGTCCTCGCTCCAAAGCAGTTTTATTTATTGTTAAACTTATTGAAGAACGGGTGATAATTGACTGTCCCACACTGGTCACGCGAAATAGACTTCTTAATTCGCGGCTGATCCACATAGATGCTACAAGACCCGGCAAGAAGAAAACAAACTCTGCGTATTCTGAAGTATCCATGAATCTGTCCGCTAGTCTGCGCGACATTTGACAATCTCATAATATGTGGATGAGCTGAGCTACATCTGCGAGCCAAATGCGCAATGAGAGCGAGAAACGCTACAAATAAATCCCACACACTCATTATTAGCCCTCATTAAGAATCATCAAAGACTCACTATCCGCAGCTTCTTAGGGATTTGTGCCTAGTTGTAGCCGCATGTGGCCGATTGAGCATCAATTTTTCTCTGGTCGCTTCCTTTTTTGTTCCGAGGATCTGATAGTTCACCAAAGATTCAAGGCCTTGGCACGCTGTGAGACCAAAGCCCACTGAAGCCAGAAACCAGTGTGTTTCTTTATATATTATATATATTGGGGATATTCTCTGACCCATGCGCCTGTAGCCAGAAAACATGAACACCTTCAGAATGCCGGCACAAAGGACTTGTGCCATGTCAAGCCAACAGCTCATCTTCAAGGATTGCTGCAAGATTTAACCTACATGATACAAAATGCATCAAAAGACTGTGCGACAAATTGAATAATCATCTCTCAAGCGTCAGAATCAATCTTTTTGATATCTGTCTAGCCAAGAACCTCAGAGTTTTTGAACCTCCCTCATCTGAGAGATTCGGCACTACACACGGTGGAAAGCATATCTAGGCCTACTGGACTGACACGAGTTCTTCCCAACCAAGACACGACCTTGTGAGATCTCAGCCTGATATGGAGTGTAAGCCGTGTACCAGCCTGGCAAGCCGTATGGGCCATAAGCAACAAAACATGACAACAAATTGTGCATGTACTGCTTCAACACTGTCCTGAAACAGTGCGTTTGTGCACGGTGTCACGGGGGGTTCAAGGACCTCCCCGGGTACAGGTAGGAACCAGCTTTTCTTCCAACGTCAGGTGGGACGTTTAAATCCTGGAATCATCAATGGTCAATGCTCCCAATGGTGCCACACATCGGTCATCTACCATCATCTACCTAGACCCTCCAACAGGTGCTTTCCTTAAAAAAGCTACACGTGCGCACAGCACGAGGCCCCACCTGGATTCTCCAAAAGGTTTCGGAGAATGGGCCCTGGCACATGTGAGCCGTGATAGCCTCAGGCCACGGTAGAGTTCTTGAGCCCTTCCCCCTGCAATGCCCTTTGTTGCTAGTAGCTTCTTGTTACTAGTATCTATTTGCTCGTAGTAGTAATGCCCTTGTTACTAGTAGCGATGCCCTTGTTCCTAGTAGCTTCTTGTTACTAGTAGTATTGCCGGGAGCTACTGCGATGCCCTTTGTTACTAGTGGGTTTAAGATGGTTTAAGGTTCTAACAACACACAGCTTGATTCATTAGATGTCATTAGTGAGACTTTCATTTGGATGGTGAGGTCGCCTGTGTTTCCGCAAGGCAAACTGTGAGAATCAATTGGCCGTTGGGTAGCCAGGGGGCACATGATCTGTTTCGGGTATTGGCCGTTTTGATGACATCCATGACAGGCGCCAAAGTCCCATGGTGCATCATGGTGTGAAACATTGTGAAACCACACAACTCTGCGCAAGCACTCGATGCCGAGCGACCCATGCCAATGTAGTTCTTGGCAATGACATTCTTGCCTTGCTACGGCCAAAGGATGAAGAACTTACCAAATTGCACACTAAAGGAACTGCGAAAGCAACATAATTTCCATGTCCAAGATCATCGGAGGTCGTCGAACAACCTTGAACCAATCAACCAAACGTATAACAATGTCACACACAGTGAGCAAAAACAGCTGCACTCGTACCCATGGTCCATCCATGTGTGCTGAGTTGCTTAGCATCTCTTTGAGCAAGGCTAAAGATCCGGATTCTCCTCAGATTTGCATTGGAGTGCCACAAATCAGTTGGCAAAAATGTCACATTGCGCCCCAAAAGCCACCCTTTTTCTCTGCACGATCAATGCGCTACAAGCACTTCTCCAGGATCAAACCAACATGTTTGCTGGCATTTCCTCCCTGAAAGGAATCCAATGAACGAAACTAAATAAACTAAGGGCCTGATCGCGAGGCATCGTCCCAAAGCCATGTCTAGTTAACATGTGTTGGAACATGTTGGAATTATATTTGCATCATCAATTGGTGGCTAGATGTGGCTAGCATCCTGCAGCATGATCGGCACCCAAGGTTGAGTTGCTACACAGCACTTGCGCGACAAACCTTGAGGACAAATCCTGGAGGCTTGAATAGAGTATAGAGTCAGGCAGTGCTCAGCCAACCTCGTGCCCGTTACCAACACAGGGTAGTGCATGGGGGCTCGTTTGGAACCTGGACTTTAAACGCCACATTCGTGGGACTTTCGCGAAATTCACTGGTGACTTCCCCGACAAGGAAAGTCATGGGCAAAAATCTGCGTAACTACAGGTCGTTGCCTCACTGTCAGGGCTGCGCAAGGGTGATGCAGTTGCTGTTTGTGATTGTGAGTTAACTTGAGGAACGGCAATCCTGTACGCACTGTCAGGGCTTTGCAAGGACAAATTGTGTTGTCAGGTTGTTCGTCTGTGACAGTGGGGACATGTGGGGACACTTCCGCCCACCGGCTGTGTCGGAGGATTCCCTTGTACTTCAATCATATGCCGGTACTCTACCAATCTTTCGCAAAAATAATACAGACATTCGCGGACCTCATCGCGGATCATTGCGGATGGCTTGGACGGCATCTATTAGATATATTATAATATACAAGATTGATTTATGTAAAGCCCCTTACACACCCCTCTTTTGATCAACCCTTCTATCAAAGCTTCACATGTTCGGCGAATAGGATCCACAGGCCTACAAATCTATCTGGCCGCATCGAAAGTTATCGTTGGCTCTATCTTGCTAGGTGTGAGGTCTGAATTGTGGACACTGTCAAAGGCAAACAGTCTAAGGACCTCTGTAAAGTCTGAACGCAAACCTGTGGACTAGTTCCCGAATCCCAGAGAAGAAAAACACATAAGGTGTTCAAAAACTCATGCATGCCGATATGTACAGCGGCATTTATTTGGTACTAAACTCAAATACTTTAGTAGCAAATCACACTATCTCGTTCAGACTACTTTAGTGTCATCAACCAAAAGCATCTCGTTTAAGTTTATATCTGTGGGGACCCTATCTCGTTCACAAGCGAATACCGAATACTGATGATAGTATAGACAAGCAAATAGAGCATGCCGTAGACTAATTACTGTAGTAAAGCCTTACAAAAGACGTGATTGCTCATATCACGAAAACGGCGTTCCATTTACACGTGTAGACTGTAGACTAAACTAGGCTCAATAAACCAAATCTTGATGGATCCCACACCCAATCCTCGCAAGGTAGCCAATCGCAGCCAAAAACTCTCGAGTCACAAAATTGCAAATTCAACATCCGGCAACATCCCCAGTTTCCACCTTGCAACATGAAAACAACATAAAACAGCACTGAGAAACCCAAAAACCACCAATCTCTGGTGACCAACACCGACACAATCCACTCCCCAACCCACCCCACCCATCGTCAGGTGGCCCAAGCGCCCATCAGGCAGCTCCATTGGCTGTTCACGCCGCACGGAGGCGGGGATGGTCAACCTTGGCCACAGCACCCCACTCGGGAGCCGAGTGCCCTTGGATGGCGAACCGTGGATCGGTGGGAGAGGTTGCAACAAGTGATCTTGGGAACGAACGGCACACGAAGGCCAAAGAGATGTTGAGTGTAGAAGAAAACGATGTCGGGGCCAGGGCTACGCTGTTGAATGCAGGGAACTGTTTAGTTCACCTTCATGCAGAATTGGTGATTTTAGACAGTCATAATGAGATGGGCACCCAGGCACCCCCCAAGGAATAAAACACACCCTTCAGATCCCTGCAGAAGCATTTCCAATGGAAGAAGTCGCACCACCCGGGCAGCCCAATAACTTGCAGCAGCTGTGAAATCCTTCTATCTCTGGTGCAGGAAGCTTCCACCATCAAATTGGAACAGGGGTGTCCTGTCTGGACCCTTGGCCCTACCCGACAGTCTTAGACATCTCCAAAACAGGACACCCTTCCGATGCACCAAATGGTCCAGGTACCCTCAATCCGGGCTGAGTCACTCCATAAGCTCAGCCAAATCCTTCACACCAATCACCTGCAGCAAATCGGAACGTCACCATCTGCCCCTGAAGCCATCAGAAAACCATATAGCACCCCGCAAGTCAGGATAGTCTGCTTGAGGGTGTTATTTTGGGTGAGCAGAAGGGTGAGCAGAACCAGTTCCCGGACCTGAAGGCCACCGTTTGGGCCTGGCGTGGAATCTTATACGTACAAAACACTACAGCCCCTGAGAATTGTCCTGATACCACTGGGCATACTGAAGAACCTAGCTCAAGTCCACCTGCTTCCACCGGAAACCATAACAACATTTGTTTTCCAACATAACTGCCTCAGCTCAGAATCAGAATGCTTGGCGCAATACATAGTTTTGTGCTGTTTCGTGTTGGCATGCAGTTTGAACATGTTTGAACCACATGTCCAAATTTTGGGCAACCTGTTCTTTCAGTCTTCACAGCCGCGACAGACGCATACAAACATGCCCATTAATAAATCGACCGAACCCCTCTACCCTTTCCATGCAACCACATGCGGCCGTAGACTGCATGATTGTACATGTGCATGAGCTGTTCCTTTGGATGGCAAGTAGTATCAAGTATAGTAACATACGGTGTATCCGCAGTAGGGTCACCTCATCATTCCCAAATATCAATGATGGTTGTCTATCTATTTAGTTAGACTCTTGGACATGCGCACCATAGTACAGCTGCCCCAACCCTGGCCATGATCCATACCATTCCATACCATCCACACGGGTGGGCAACCATCCACTCCGCGCCTTGCACATCTCTTGCACATCCGAGGGAAGCGGGCCCAAGTGTCGCTGCTGAAACTGGTCCGTGGGCAGGAAGAGGTCGCTGCTCGAAAACCTGGCGGGCGCCCCGCCCCGTCTGACGTTGGTCGTTGGTTGGGGAAATGTGTCTGACCATGTTCTCGGGTGCAAGCCTATAGTGACTATATAGTGGCCTGAAAGGCCTTTGGAATCTCTGAACCCATGATCAAGTTGCCTCTCGAAGACTCTCAGAAGCATGAATTAAATCATATATATTAAATCCATTTAAATCCCTACCCAGGATCTCCCAGGCGACCTCGCCACCATGACACCCAACATCTCCCACTTCCATCGTCCCACCTTCGCATTGCACGGGCCAGGCATCGGGCCTTAAGGGCCACTCCAGCGGAGTGGGGAAGCCGCCGGATCGCCATGGGGCTTCGCGGCGGGGCGTCCAGAGAGGCGGGGCTTCGAACCGTGCGATCGCTGCACGCTGCGGACGCAGAGCGGACGGAGTTCCCAAACGGCGGCGGTACGGTGATTCTCCGGATGCGGCATCTGAAAGCCCGATGGCCCTGGGGAGGACGTGGATTGCTTCAAAAGTTCTTCAATGTCTGAGCTTTCGACACCCAATATTCATCTGCAGCCCACCTCAAAAACCATCCATCTCCCATCTCAAGTCCCATGTCAAGCAGCCAAAAGGCTCCTGCCCATCTTTCCCTCCCATGGCGCCCCCACCCCACCTCTGTTCGATCAATTGCCGCATCTTCGCCTCCGCCTCGCGGTCCGCCAACGTCACGGGGCTCTCCGCCACCGGGCGGCCCGGCTCGTGCTTGGACTCCACGGGCAACTGGGCGGGAGGATCGGCATCGGATGGGTAGCAGGTGGCCAACCGGCCGCCGGCGCCAAATCGGGATTGGTCTGTTTATGCCAAGATCGACCTCCCGAATCCTGGATCGACCCGATGCCGAGAGGCCGGCTTCCGCCAATACCTTGCAGAACTGGGTGCTGGACGGTCCAGGGGCTCAGAAAGCTTCGGAATTCGGGGTCCCATCCATTACAGCCTTGACTCACTGGACAAGGCGAGACATACAAAAGACACAATCCTCATGCGGGTCCATTCGTATCCCAATCGAGGCAAGAACTGTGCATCCCAAAATGTTCCCCAAAACCTCCGCGCTTGGCAACTGGCGAAACGGGCGTTCCGGATGAATGAGAAACATTGAGAAACCACGGTTGGTAGGCCCGCCCCTCGCTCGCCAACGGCGGTGGGTCACTTCAGGATGACGGCTCCAGCTGCATCGGCCAACTCTTCAGCAAAGGCCACCAGGTCACCAGGCACCGCCATGGTGGGACGGGGCAAGAAGTGCCGCAGGAATGGCGTGAACAAATGAAGATCATCTATAGTCTATAGACTAATTCTAGATGGAACACAAAGTAGAACACATGATGGAACATGGTGATTCTGTGATTCTTCCACTTGTGCCATGATCCCAACCACCCACCTGGGAGGCTTGCATGCATTGCAACACAACGGCTCCCACTTCCCAATTGAATGCAGTTGGACAATGGGAATTTTCTCCGAAAGCTTGGGTACACCATAGTCGTCCCAAGGCTTGGAGGAAATTTGCTGACTTCATGATCCTGTGTTGCATGTCTCTTTGCGCACATCAGCAACTAAGCATGCCCGTAAGCCGGCAGCGGAAGGATGGCAGCGAGAGCCACAGCGCGACGACCCGAAGAGCAAGTTCCCCCAAGAAATCCAGCCAATTCCAGCACCTGGAAGGTTGAACATTTAGTGTTCTTTCTCTGGGTGTTTAATGGATGTGTAATTGGTCATGTGCTGAATATACTGCGTCAGTCTCATGCGTGTACATGCCTGGCCCCTGCATTTGACCCGAGTTTCGTCGATCAAAGGGGTGGCAACGATGATGGAACACATTAAACACGGAGGGCCTTCCTCCCGCTGGATCGGCCTGTGAAAAGAGCTCCTTAGCAAACCCAGCCACAACTGATGTGTAATTCTAAGTCCCTGATGGACACAATAACACAGATCAAAATCTTCAAACTTATAGACGCTACAAGTAGAATCTACAATACAAATTGTTAGTTTCTATGTCAGTGAGATTCCTGCAATCTGCAAAGTAGCAAAACTCCATGAAGACCACGCCGACGAAATCCATGCCATGCCTTGCAAATGTCCATGCCAATCTCTCCATCCGAGCCTCTCGGTCCGGCACCGGGTGGAGACGTCCCATCCCCCCGAGCGCGGAGAAGGTCGTGGTGAAGCTCAAGGCTATTCTACCATTCAGCGTCGGACGCTCGTCGCGGCTGGGTGAACACATGGTTTGCTTTGCATGCCGCGCTGATCTGCGCAAGCGCGGTGTGGCAAGAGATCGCGGTGTGGCACCGACCTCGACTGGCATAGCAGCGGGCCAAAACCTGGTTGGCCACTGTGGCGTTCCTGGAAGGGACGAAGGAGTGGAAGGAATCAGCATCAGGATGGATCCATCACTAGCAACATACGAAAGCTGAACTGAAAGCTGAAAACATGTTCAACAAATAGGATCAGTTGATCACGCTATATCACGCTTCAGTTGATACTTGAATATACTTGATCAACGAAAAACCTTTCACGATCGTTTCCAGAAGTTCCCAAGCTCGGCTACACAGCAGCGGCTCGGACCCCCGGCGGCGTGGTGCTGGTGGGCTTCAACACCACCTTGGTCGTTTCCGCGAAAAAAACCAGCGAATCCACTCAACCTGTGAGCGACCGGTGAGGTCGGTCTCCTCTGCATCTGGGAACCAGACCTGACCAAAGTCGCGGAAACCAAAGACACATGCCCCAACTTGAACAAGCATGTCCAAAACCGCTGGCCGAGTGCCATATCAAGAAATAACAACACATGTCATATGAAAACATCGTGTACTTACGTAACATATATTCCATCTTGCTGGACTTTCGGGTCGCATGGGTCACCTTTCCATGGCGATCACAACAACTCGCTGATTCTCCTTGATTGGGCACCCAGGCCGCCGGCTCACGGGAGGAAGCCTCATAGCGGGTTGCATCCCGTGTTGTTGAGACCTTGAAAACTGCAAACACCTTGCCCTTTCGAAAACAACGATGTCAATTGATTTCAGTATTGATGTACTGTATAGTATCAAACATGTTGGTTTGGAGCTCATTTATGCACGCTTGATCTCGTTTTAGGCAAATTGGTGTGACTTGCACTGTTAGCATGACGACTTCAAGCATGGTGGGTAATCCATAGTCGTCCATCCATAGTTCTACACCCTCCACAAGGCAGTGTTCGCCGCCCTCAAGACACTTCCCACAAGACCTTTGTCCCTCCGGCCTGCGCACCGGGCTTCAAGGTCGCCTGGGCAGCGACAGTCACAGTAGCAAAGCACTCAGCCGACGAAAAAAGATGAAAAAGAACTCACGATGTCACCAACCGGCTTACGAAGGCTCCAGCTTTTCAAAGGCTCGCGCTACTCTGTGCTGGATGCTGGTGCGGCATCCGAAGATTTCCGGGCTCTCCAAGCGGATTGAATGGCTCGGGTGGAACGAACAGCCTGGAAGACACGGGTGAGACTTGACAAACTGTTTCGACCGCCCTCCGGACGATCGGGCGAAGATGGATTACCTTTGGACTTGGAGCACGACAGCCGACGCCCCGGATTCATCTCACTGGCTTGCGCCTCAAAGCCATGGTCTCGGAAGAATTCGGCATATTTGCCTTGCACCTCAGGGGAGGCCCCCCTCCATCCTCCCTGCAAAAGCTCGGAACTTTTGCTCCTCACTGGGCCTTCACCAAAGTGGATGAAGCAAGCGGTGCAATTGTCCTTACTCCCCTTGTCCAAGCAAAGCTTTAGGAGATCAATGCAGACCTGTCCCGCATCTAGCCCATGAGGCCCATCCAATTTGGACGGATGCTCTTCCACAAAGGTCCGCACCTCTTCATTCTCCATAACATCGAAAATGCCATCACAAGCTAGAAGTACCCAATCCCCTGCTGAGCACCCAGAGATGGTTTGCACTTCGGGCACGGCCGAGACCTTCGTTTTGGAGGGTTCCATCCCCTTGGGCTTGAAATGAAAGTCGCCCAGCGCCCGGCTCACGGCCAAAGCACCATCCACTCGCATGGGACCTCCCAAGGGCCCTTGAGAGACGCAGCCGCCGGCCGCTTCGATGCGGCGAGTCTCGTCTTCTCGGTTGGGCTTGTGGTCCTTGGAGAAGAACAGGCATCGCTTGCGGCTGAGAACTGCTCGAGAATCCCCGGCATGTGCGATCTGCACGGTGTAGGAACCAGACACCTCAGGGGTCAGAATGCAAGCGACCACGGTACTGCCACTGCGGTCTTCTGCTTCAAGGTGGCTGCGCAAGCGGCTATCAGTGTCAATGAACGCGTCTTGCAGGATTTTTTGGACCTGACCGGGGGGCTTCCCACAGAGAGTCACTTGCTTCAATGCCTCCTCAAGAAGCCGCGCACCATCAAAGGCCGCACTGCTTCCGCCATGACCGTCCAGCACTGCGAAGACCCCGCCGCCGGAACGCTCATCCGGGCAAAGGAGATGCGCATCTTCGTGGCTTCGGCGCCAGCCTTGCATCGTGACGGCAGCAGCTGACCATGAAGGAGAGGAACAATGCTCCACGACCATGGCGGTCACAGGCTCTGAGAGAATGGCGCCCATGACTGAAACGAAGGCGACCAGGCTCTGCCGGCTCCACGACGGACCGGGGTCAGAACGATGTGAGCTAGGAACACGTACTTATGCTGGCATCCACTGGAACCAGAAATCACCACTGGACTTGTGGCACATGCTTGGGCCAAAAAAGGATCCACAATGATGGAATAATCTTACAGTTTGCTACCTAAACTGATGACGCATGTTCCTGTTTTTCAAGAGTGCAACTCGAAGCCCTGACACAAACTCACGATGTAAGAATTGCCCGAGATGATGTGGTTCTTGTGGCGGGGAAGGATTGTGCGTGTAATTAGCTCCTACATTGCCTCAAATTTGCCACTAATCTGACGCGGTGCCCGAGGCTGTGGCGGCCAACACGGCTCTGCCAGTCAAATCCATGACATCGGCTTGCGCCTGTCGTTGCAACGCATAAGAAACATGCATGTATATTCCTGTATAAGTTGACTCAGCGAAAGGCAGAGAGCGACGTTCTTTTGTCTGAAAGGATTTTGGTCGAACATTGCGGATGACGCGCGTTCATTTTCCCGTAGCGAAGTGTTCTTGTTACTTGTTTAACTCTGGGGGTCTGGGGGTAGACTCGTGTTCGCGATGCGTGCTCTCAGCGTTCGCAGCCGTCCGCAACCGTTCACAACCGGTCGCCGCCGCCCGCAGTAGGGCGCTAAGGCCGCTGCCATTGAGGGAAGCTTTTGGAGAGGGTTTGGCATGGAAGCGTGATGTGTCAGATTCGTGTGAAAATAGCGTGGAAACGTGTGGAAAGAATGTAAGATGGAGGATGATTTCACTGCGCAGGCGCAGCGTTTTGTGAGGTCCACAGTTTTCTACGCATTGGGATTATAGTGTTTGGAGAGTGGTGTTTTGGGGGTGTTGAAAGTGCGCAAGAGCGTCCTACAAGAGTGACCCACAAGAGTGTCCACCAAGAGTGTCCCACAAAAGTGATACGGTGTCCCACAAGAGTGTCCCGCAACAGTGTCCCAGAAGAGTGTCCCACAAGAGTGTCCTGTAAGAGTGTCCCACAAGAGTGTCCTACAAGAGTGTCCCGCAAGAGTGTCGCGCAAGAGTATCCTACAAAAGTGTCCCAAAAAAGTGCCCCACAAGAGTCTCCTACAAGAGTGACCCACAAGAGTGTCCCACAAGAGTGTCCCACGAGAGTGTCCTACTGTCCTACAAGAGTGTCCCGCAAGAGTGTCCCCTAAGAGTGTCCTATAAGAGCGTCCTACAAGAGTGTCCCGTAAGTGTCCCACAAGAGTGTCATTTGGACATATGTAGCTTTTCGAACGTGTTTGCCAGTGTTTGCATTCGGGTTCGTCGGCTCCATCTTGTTTTTGTTCTGGTAATTGCGTGGACTCTTTCTGAAGCACTTGGAGGAGTACGGCTTAGTAGGCGACCAAGCGACAACTAACTGAAGACCACATCACAACCATGTGTTCATGTCATTTCATGTCGACACGTCCTAGTTGCTCTCCAACATAAATGTTTCTTTCATGCAATTTAGGAGAATCCCCGCTTGCATGAGTCTGCCATCGACCTGTCCCTCCAAGTCCGACGTTCCAAGAGTCTGACCGACCTCTCCTGCGTATTTTTGCCCAACACTGGCAGGTCACCTCTGCTCCCGAAAAAAGTGCAGCAGTGACAGCAGAACTTCCACCGTTCTACGTCACACGCGACGTTTTACCGCGCGTACTTGTTGCTGTGTTTTTTTTGTGCGGGCCACGCCTCCGCCCATGCGACACCCTGGGGTAACCGAACGGCCAGCACACACTCGCTACCTGGCAGAACACACTTGGACCAAATGACCCTCCAAAGGGGCTCTATCTTGGCGGAGATCAAGGTGAGGGATCAACTGGAGGGAAGCACAAGGTTTGACGAGTTGTGTTCCAGGTCTATCCCAAACAGCTCTGGCCTTGAAAACACCAACAAATTATGCAGGATTGGTCTCTCATACTGAGAGCGCCACATATTGGATGCTACTTTGCTGTCGGTTCAAAGTCAGAAAGAAACCAAGACTTTGTCAGAAGCACGCCAATGCAAGGTCACTGGAACAAACAAGGAACGTACATGCAGTGGGAACTGGGATTGCAAAGCCGGCTTGTCACATGACGCATGCCTTCCGAGATGGGACGCCGCCACCCCCGGAATGCATGTCACCTCAGAGTCCATGAGCGCCCCCCCAACGACGACGCATCGATACGAGTCGTCGCGCTCTATCTACGTATTGGTTCGGTCGGGCCTGAAGGAACGACCAAACCCTGACAAAGGTGTTGTGATCGGCTGATGCCTGGCAACGCGGATGCCGGCAGTTCCAAGCCTCAAATAGAGTCCTATTAGGTGAACAAATATTTACAATGAAGGAATCAGGCAGGGTGCAAGCAAGCTACGGCAAGGGATAGCATCCTGGTTGATAATTATCGATACATGCACTGTATAAAGCATCAATGAAGTCGGCCGGCGGGCCGGTGATACTCGACAATCCCCAAACATGTCCCATGTGCTATCACCATTGCATTTGCCTTCCCCAAAGAACCTAGAGATTGGCAGTCATCCAGATCAGAACAAGAATGCATGTGTATATATATATATATATTGCCGGGTATGCATTTCAATTCATATATGATATGTTTCCTTTTCTTCTGCTTGCGCCCTGAGTGCCTCTGGTCGGAGGAAGCGCCGACCTGACGCCAGCGCCCGGTGACTCGACTGGTGGCCGATCGTTCTGGGTTCAAACCAGCCTCCAACGGCCAGGCAATTCTGGAACACATGTTGTGTGCACATGAACCGAGAGCATGCAACAAAGCAGTAAACAAATGCATAGACATAGAACACTCAAAGCACCCTAGATAGATAGATAGATTTGATTTTGGTAGATTAGAAAAAGATTAGATTAATTAAATAGATAGATGGATAGAGATATAAATAACAAACACATAACAATAAATAGACAAATAACAACACAAAGAAAACATGTGGGTGTTGATCAAAATAAAGGTATCTGAGGCAGCTACAATCGCCGATCAACCGCGAATCAATCGCGACCCCAACGGTGTCAATCGCGGGAGAGTAATCTCGTATGCAACACTATTTTATGCAAAGAATCGTCGAAACATTGCTACATATCACAGTATTTAGAGACATGGCGCGAGCCAGGGCCTACTCAGGCGGGTTTAACAATCGCGGCACAATCGCGGATTTTGTCGACATTTTTTGAGAATTGAATTGATCTGGGCTGGTAGACTTTGAACTTTGTTGTTCTGATTCTTCTTTGCTATATTGGCTATCACTATTGAACGCAGTGTCTAGGCAAACCCGAATACAGTGTAAGGCTGAACTGTAACATAATTATCATCCGCATATAAAACTGATTTCTCCCCTTACAATAAATGTTTGTCTCAATCGCGAACCAATCGCCGATCAATCGCGATGCAGGGTTTTACAATCGCAAATGCTGAGATATACATGCCCTTTCATAATTCTTAGATTTGCATTTACGGTCGGCTCCCATGTCTATATAACGATTGATAGACAACACATAAATAAAAAGTAAGGATAGATAGGATACATAAGACAAAATACGATAGGATAGGATCAACACAAATATAAGAGCAATCGGAATAAAACATATAGATAGATGATGATAGATGCTATGATCGTGCTGGTTGGATGAAAGGTGTGCAACTACAGTACCACCATGGATTCCTCTTTTGACAATGCTGGTTTTGACAGCAGCTCAAGACGGAAAGACCCCGTTGTCCCTTCAGTGTGTGTCTAAGATCTGGGCTCCAGCAGTCCTGAGCACATGGGCATGGCCTGTGCCTCTTGTCTTGCCAAAGGTCCAGGACAGGAGGTCTTCCGAACCATAATATTAGGACATAAATAACTTTGACCTATCAAGTAAGATATGTGCCGGGATATACATGCCCTCCGTCTGGCCATCCGGACTCCGAGCACAAGTCCACAAGTCCGGGCTGCAAATCATGCTAGAGAAAAACATCACTCAGAACTTGTCTGCTTGGACTTGATTTCTTCTTTGTTGCCATGTTGACCATTGTTCTTGCTGCATGAAATTGTGGTTTACAAACACTCGCCTGGCCCAGCTTCCCCACCCATCTACCGGATTCCATCGGCATCCCCACGGGCCGCATATTCGGGTGAAGACCTAAACACGGCGCCCGTGCGTGTCATGGGCATGTCAGGCGGCGTGTGCAATCGGACGGGTCGTCCAACGATGTAAAAAGCACAGCAACAAGCACTGTGGTTCGCTCGCAAACGCAGGCGCAGAATGGACAACAGTCCTGGAAGAGTCCTTTTTCAATCATGTTCTGTTGTTTCAGTGGTTTCCCACTGACGAGATGTGCATGTGGGGTGCCTCCGTATGCGGCCCTAAGCAAAGTGTCTGACATACCGTTGCGGATCAAACCGTCCGAAGAGAGTGGTGAGATTGCAAAACCCTGTTCGGCCATTGTAGCTGATCACTATAGAAACTGTCATCACACAGGACTACACACTCGCAGTGTCCATAAATGCGGATAAGAGTTGATCAAGAAATGACAAATCATCAGAGCAAGTCCGCCAGGTCTCCCCTGTAGCTCCCACTCTGCACCAAATCCCATGAATCCATCAAAGCATATTCCCCACACAGCTGTCGGAAACTACCGAGGTCGTCACAGAAAGTCTCTAGGGCTCACCTGGCACCGCTGCCCGTCACGCAATCCGAACTCGGCGTCCAACAGCGGAAGCAAAGGCTTGGTGAATCTCGGCTGATTGGAGGAAGCGAAGCAACATCTCAGGGGTGTTTGGACGGCTCAACCCACCCTGGAACAGCTTTTGGGATCTCTTGCCAAGCTTCTCACAGGTGTCATTTTGGATATTGGAGAGGTAGAGATAGGTAGAGAAGATAGCGCTAGGTCCATGCACGATCTCTAAACTCATCTTACAGTAACTCATTTGTCCATGAATGATGTCAGATTTGAGCACGCCCCAAAACATTGAACAACTTAAGACGTATGTTCTAGATTGTTCTAAGATGTTCTAGGTCAGTGCCAAAAATGCTGTTGAAGTTGCGACAATTCCATCCCTGCCTCGGACACTTCTCCACCAGGCCTCCAATGGGAGTTGGACTTGCTTGAACACTGTTTTCAATATCCTGTCTTTAGAATGAGCATCGTCCAAGTCAGGTACAGGATTGTTGGAGCAGGTTTGTGGTCTTCGGACAAGCTTGGGGGTAGAGATGGGTAAACATTTGGCAGGTTGGGAACTCACTCCCCAAAGTTCTGAGCACGTTGGGAGATCCAACAGGTCTTTTCGCTTCACACGATCTCTACGAGGTCTCTATACGGGGTCTCTACGAGGCAAGAGCCGTTCGATGACCGGCTTTCGTTTGGAACATCTCGAAACGTCTTGGAACCACTCTCTGTCAAGCTGTTCAGCAATGCGAAGAGCCAAGATGTGCGAGTTTTGGTTACCTCAGTCACGATCTTTTGTGTCTGTTGTTTGCAGAGTGCTTCTGCACCCATGCCATTTGGCTTGGTGAATCCCCAAATGAATTTCCATCCCCAAGTAACCCACTCAATCACACCAACGTCCGTATCACCTTCCTCATGCAACGAACACCAGCGGCTCTCCAGGGTCAACAATCTCACAGTGTTCCATCTGAAAACATGGTTCTACGGAACCTTCAAGCTCAAATCACCTATCCAATCCATCCATTCCGTCACCAACCACCCACTCCGCACATGTGCAAACCCGCGTACGGCGTGGGCATCCAGGCCAGCTCTGGACTGGTCGCAAGCTTTGGGTGGGGGACGAAAGGCTGGAGGCCAATGGCACCTTGGAAACGCGAGCTTCGGACTGGCAACATGGGGCCCCTTATAGCCCCTTGGCCCGGCAAACAGTGAGGACCCAGATTCTGCATGCATCAGGACGCTTCCATGCCAAGAAGCGGAGTCCGGGGAGTCTTTCTTCCATCTGCTTGGATGTACACTTGCTCGGAGCTTTCTGGTCCCGAATCGTCCAAAACCGAAGACTTGCAGAATAGAAGATACAAGTAGAGGCGCACGAACAGACTTTATTTGTGAGGCATTCCCATCGAACAGACTATTCTAGTCATAGTCTTGGGGAGGGCCAGTCGATGTACTGAGCGGCCGAACCCCGCTGGTGGCTGCGTGGTGCAAGGTGCTAGCGCCAGTATCTCCACGGCAAGGCTAAGCAAAATCGGAACTCGTCTTTTCCCGTTTCTTCTCTTATTTAATGTTTGTTGTCTTTTCTTCTGTGGATTTTGAGAAAGTAGAACCATTGCGTGTTGTTTTTTTCTGTTTGCTTACTTATCCTATGCTCCTTTAGACTTTTATGGGTCTCGACCAGCCCTGAAAACAAACTTGATCAAAGCTAGGTGTAACGCCTATCAATGCATCCTTAGACCTAGCAAGCTGCCTCAACATTCTGAAATTCTGTGCCAGCAGCTGGAAACAAACAAGGGAATTGGGGGGTCAAAAAGAGCAACTTTCACAGCACCTACGACAAATATGAAAACATATGAAGCATAAACACTAGACCGACAAATTGCTGCAAAAAGCCATGACCTGATACTGCCTAGATTCTTTGGACTTGAGTGATTCACAGTCCGAAGAGGCTCGTCTACACGACGTCTACAGCTTCAGGAGGTGTCCTGACACCTTCGGGTTCACCCGGAGATCATCGGACGTCACTTGAAACGGCTTGAGCACATGCTTTTCGCGGGCCACGCCTGGACTGGCGAGCATCTTGGGCCTCACAGGTCCGTTGGACGTTGCGACCTGTGACGCTGTGTCATAAGGATAGTATCGTATAGATATTATATCCAGCAGTCACAAAGGGATGCTTAATGGAGGTTAGGGGTGGCCATTATCCACTCACTTAGGGACTAAACATTATATATTTTTTGTATTTGATGTGATGAAACTCTGTGCTAGCATGCAGGATTCTGGCCAATCTTTCGTTTATGGTAGTTTGGGATTGTGCAAGCATCTGCCACCAGGCCATTCCAGCATCACACCTAAAAGCTATAATACGAGTCAACGGGGTTATCATGGGCTATCGCACACTGTAAATTATGACGATATCACTAGTATCTCCACCCGATGAGCCGTCACATTCGCGGGAGTTCGGCGGTCAACTGTTGAGGCAGGTTCATTGACCGAGTCCTTCACCACTTCAAGTCACTTCAAAGCCGGAGGCCCTATATAAATGCTAAAGAATTCAATAGGGTTGTTGGTTGGCACTTGTAGCACTTCTTAGCAGCTTGAAGATCTGAGCTCAAGGCCTTGCTGGTGCTCTTATCTAGCTCAAAGCCTTTGTTATTGGCTGTGCGTGCTAACAATACAGTGTCATAAATAGCTTAAATTCAAGAGAACCAGCATCTGACGCGGGGCCATGCAACGCATTTCTTCTTCGCAATATGAATGCACCGACATGGATGTTTCTCCATAATCGTTCTATAGCTTGTCTATATACTCTAGATTGAAAATCATAAGTTGTGAGACTTCTCAAAAGCAAGCAGCTAAGGTGTGACAACCCAACTTTCTGCCAGAAATCCATTTTCTCCAGTGCTTTGCCCAACATCTGGCTACATGGACCACCTTGGCCAAACAACACGGCTCTGGACTTCTGGTTTGGATGTCGCCCAGCTGCCACATGCCTTGGCCCGCCATTTTCGCTCCCACTCCCCGCTTGGCGGCGAGTGGAAGCGGTGGTGAAATCCTCTGCGCCCGCCACAAGTCTCCAAGTTCACAAAAAAAAAATAGCCAGACTGGAGAAAAAACCTTGCGTGCACAGTGCACATGTCGGATGTTTGCACATGAAACTCGTGGTGCTGACATATGGTTGGCGATGAAGTGCCATAAAACAAGCCTTCAGCATCTATGACAAACAACGAGGGGTTCACTCGCGGACGAGAGGAAACCTGCGTCCGCGACCTCCCGGTCGGGCTCTTCCGATGTCGCTCAAAGCGCGCCACAGCTGGTGACGGCGCTCCCTCGTTGGCAGAAAGGGGCTGATGTCTGGATTCCATGTATACAGCTCATCAGCTATGCCCTGGCTGCCGCACTTTCTGCAAGAAGGGGGTGGAATGTAAACGACCAAGTCTAATTTCAGGACTGTTCTGCCACGTGTGAGCTTGCTAAACAGCTTATTGAGCAGCAAGTGGGTGCCTTGTGTCTGTCCACAATATGAAGGCCAGCATGCGAGACATGAAATAACATGACAGAACTTCAGAATGGCCTTTATCCTTTGCACTTGAATGCAGCAGGAGCCCAAATAATCATGGACCTTCACTGACTGTTGATTCAACACAGTCCAGGTGGGCATTCTACTCTGAGAACTGTTTATACATCTCGACAAAGGCACCCCAGCTGTGTGTTTGGAAAAACTCCTCAAAGGAGGCGAGGCCAGCTGTCCTGAAACTAGGGCATGCAAGCCTGCAGGTTCAATGAAGCTCCATCTACCTTGCCAATGGGTGATGACCTGCCAGATTTGTCGCTGAAATCCAAGATCAGAATTCTGTTGGCATATCGGGAGGTGTGCAATCATCACCTCTCGGATCTACCACAAAATGGCCGTGGCAATGGCTCACAAAGGACGGGTCTGGTCTCATTCTTTGGATCTGCGCCGAACCAAAAAGAAACGATCCCTTACAATTCCCCCACTGCGCCTCACAGTACCTCAGGCACCCACACGTGTGGCAGTGGTGCTGGCGATCGAGTCAAGGAAGGTGATCGGTACTCGTGACACGCCCACACACTCCTGCAGCGTGGTGTCTCAAGCAGCGAAGTGCAGGGGTTGGAACTCACTTGGCGTGGGACACCTTGTTCAGGTTGGTTTGCTCGAAGTACTGTCGATGGGGGACCCCAGTGAATGACAAAGAACACATTGCATGGCACGAAGGATGGGGGAAAATCAAGTCGAAAAACACGCCGAAGGAGCGAAGCAAGCCTGCGAGAGCAGAAATAGAACGTTTGAGAAGTTTGCCTTTCCTAGGGGGATCGGCCCTGGCCCCTGAAAACAGTGTTCTCGGAGGCCTCTGATTCTATGTCGAAATAGGTTATTCTGAATCATATTGCATTCGAGCTTGTGAATCAAACTTACCCCCAGCAGTTCCGAATGCCCTGCCGCCGTATGGCCGTGTCAACATGAAGCACCTGAAAACATATTCATGTACCTGGAATTGAGATTTAATCTGCCGCTGGTCTATGGGAGACTCTGGTTTTGACTACCGTTACAAAAGGATGGCAGCATCAACTGATCAAATATGATCAAATGAACAACTGACATTGACATATCATATCCACGTACAGACTAATAAAACTAGAAGGAGGGGCATATGCCGGATGAAGAAACAATACAGCCATTGCAATTCAGGAACTGGATGGAATTGGTTGATGCAGCGAGCGTCTGGTTGCCGTTCTATCAAAGTCTAGGCCCTGAAAGGTGCCAAACAAAAGCTTCACAACATATCATCAATGGTCAAAGCAAAGTCACCTTGGAGGACTTGTAGTCATCTCTGGCATCATAGTAAATGAAAACATGGTCCTTAGATGCTGCCATCCAGGTACAAAGGACAGAAGCTGCACGTGCGCATGTGACTTCTTCCCTGAAAGCGGTGGCAATGATTCTTTCTTCAATGTGACACTGCGATTCATTGGATGTCACTGTGCGATCGGATGTTTCCGTATTGTGCTCCTCTTTTGGGGCAAAGACCTGAACCTGCTCTTCTTCGCTTCCATCCGAACACAAACGCTTCAAGAAGGCCCCAAACCCCGTCTCAAACGGCTGCCGTTTGAGAATCACCCGGTAGTACCGGGAAGGATGTGACAAGTTGTCCTCGAATCAGGTGTGAAACTGCTTCAAGTTTTGGTCCTAGGCTCTGACATACTTTGCCTGCAGCCGGGGGAAGACCAATTAAGGGAGATGTCCAGTGCCCATTGATCTACCAGTGGCCCAAGGCCCACCAAGAAAGTGCATCCCACACTCCCTTCAATGCACATTGTCACCTTGCAAAGGAAGACCATGTTCAATTCCAACTTGTTGTGCCCCCCTTTGAATCAAGGCAGGGTGTACAAAGCTGGTCAACTACTTTAATCCTCCTTCAGCCCTTGAAAGAGAAGAATCCTCCTGCGGGTCGATGGGAGCTAGGGTTTCGGGATTCAATTGAAAAGCAAACCAACCAGGACCTAAGCGACCAGGTTGAACCTGAAGAAGGAGGAATTCTGCCAAATGACCTTGACATCTCAGTGTCCATTTCTTCTCTGGTTCAGCAAGTGTTGGCTTGTAGTAGAGTCTTTTTCGGGTCAAGGAGACCTTCCTATTACGTAGAGAAGGAAGACTTTATCACAACTCGTCCAGAAGGAGGCCTTCCTCTTCCCGCGGTGGGGCGACGCGACTCAACCCAGTGTCCGGATCAAATGAGGGGATCATTGTGTCAAAGGCATGGACATGCCTCAGATTGCATGGGTGACACCGACTCACTGCCTGAAGGGTTTGTTTCTAGAAAAAACACAGGTGTTGTAACCTTCTCTTGGTCACCTGGGTATCTCAAACTGATGAAGATTGTTGAAGGTCTATGTCAACTTTAACTAATAAGGTCTCCCTGCAATCGGCTTGTGCCGAAGGTGAGACAATACAATCATGTACCGCAATGTCATAGACTTTTCTTTATTGAACTTACCTTGAGCCTTGGGGGCCCCAACAACTGACATGATGAACCGGGCAACTGGAACGAGCGGTTTCTACGCGCATGCTTTGGTTCAACAAGCGGTGCTACCGTCAATCCATGAATTCCCATGACAACGATGCCACTGAGGTCAAACACAGTGGAAAACGTGCGAGGTGATTGATGCAGGAAAGCAAAATTTCCTTTCGACATCTTTCGACCCATTGCTTCTTCTGAAGGTTGTGTGTAGCTTCTCGAATGGTTCTCAGTCTCGAAAAGGTGCACACCACCGGCTCATCCAAAAAGCCACCAAAACCCGGAATCACACGATCATGGGCACCGTAAACGTGACCTTCCAGCGGTCCCTGTGCTCCGTAAATCGGGCGACCAACACGTGGTCCCATCCTCCGAAAGATAACGCCCTTTGAAGGACACCAGGTGGCGCTTTCTTCCAGCTGCCAGGTTGAAGAGTGGGCGCCTCGGTAGTCTAAGACTCGGGCCAATTGTGAGTTAAAAGCCGGCAGCCTCCTATAGGCTTCTATAATAAGCAGTTTCCCAAAAGCACAGATTTAACACCAAACCTCAAAGCATCTCTTAAACGAGGCATTGCCTTGTAGGAACGCTCCATGGGTGGTCATGAACGCCCTGCCGAGTCACGATGGTTCCGTTGAAGAATACATGATGACATGATGCAACCTCATACCATTTGAATCCAGTTGATGATGATTGCCTCTGGGGCATGCCTCCCAACCCCGAAATGACTTGGGCTCACGTTTGTGGACCACAAAGATGTGGGTGTTTTTGTTGAAGCGTTCTTGGCTGCAAAGTCACATACCAAGGCTTATTGTATACTGGCACAACAAAGCACAACCATTTGCAACTTCAAAGTGTGACACACACACACACACACACATCACACACACATGAAAAGCCTTGGTGCGTTTGCATGTAACCACAAAAGGTTCAAAATGTTGACATCCTCACCTTCTTGACGATCTTTGACCATCCCAGCGGCCAAAAAATCGGCATCAATCACCGACCAGGAGAAGCCATCGACACTCGCCATCAAGGCAATGCCTTGGGGCACCACGGGCACTCCAAACCCAAAGCTTTATGGGCCGGTCAACAACACACAGGATACCGGCCAAGAGGCGTTATATAATTCAGTTTTCTGGACCTGATTGACTTACAAATAAGTCATGTGAAATTTAGAGCACATCAGTGTGCGCTTGGGCACGCCTGACCCTATTTGACCCAGCAGGTAGCATGTAGACGATTGGCATACCTCTTCCTTGACAGTTCCTTATTAGCCCCATCTCCAAAGCACCAAAGGGAACGACAATCAACCCTACTTACTTATTGATGTTTGGATCTGGTTTGTCAAAAACAAACCTGGCTCACCCCCTAAACAATGCACTTTGCATGACCCAACAAAAAAATAACATTGGATGCCTAAAGCATGTTCATCAATCCCGTGGCTTTGGGTCCAAAACATGGATGAAACCCAAATCGACGGATCGCACTTCTGGTTCCTACCACAAAGAATGAGCCATTACTTACTTGCCAGGATCCACAGAACTAGTTGCAGGGCACATATTTTTTGTTATATAATAGGTGCAACCACTTCGGTGCAACCACTTCGGTGCCCCAGCTGCTGGAACCGATGACTCCGTTGTGGCCGCGCGTGATGCGATTCCAGAGCCCTAAGAGGCGCCGCCCTGCGAGACGCGGACGCCGGTGTTTAGAGCGGAGACGGGAGCGGTCACCGACAGAGGAGCGGCACCGACATGGACAGTGACCAAAGAAAATGGAACCCGAACCCTAAGAATGCTAAGATGTTTGGTCATCAAGTCCCAAAACATGCTAACATAGAACTCTAACATAGAGCTCTATCAATGCTAACATAGAGATCTATCAAGTCAAAGAATTAAACAAAAAGAGGACATGAGCCGACTTGCTGATCCAACTTTCAGGTGATCGGCCGTGTCTCGACACGTGGCGACACCGTGCCCCAGTCAATCGACATCTTCTTCGCTTCAAGACTCCCCGCCTATTCCAGCCTCATCATCGAACTTCAGATCATCAAAGCCCTTGATCATCTTGAAAGAACCCGCGCCCACCACCTGGGCCCACGGCTATCCCTCTCCACACATCGGAACACAACTTTTGAGGCGAGGTCTGCCTGTTTCACCGGAATTCAGCTACTGCAGCAATCACCCAGGTGCATGCTCCCATTTTTTGTGTTTGTGATTGTGACTCAAGGCTTGAGGCAACAACATATATAAATAATGATTTATAAATTAAATGTATAGCAGCGCTATCATGAGCACGACAACTCTCATTTCTAGGGATCTATGTTGAGTGAGTTTTGTAGTGCCTGATAGAAGCGCTAGAAATATTGACCTCGCGTGGGTCGCCTCATGACCCCTTCCTATTGGTTTGGCAGGTTCCCACCATATACACACAAGACTCATGATGAAGACATCTCTGGACTCTCTCCTGGTCCTCACAATGCTTGGACCTTGCTGCAAAAACAGGAGCTGTGAGGTTCCCTGTACAGAAATCCATCTCTTAGGCACATCTGCAACATCTGAGTCCCAAATCTACAAGATCTCACTCGGTGGGTCATTGAACACCCTCCTACTTCCCACCTTCTTCCATCTTCTTCCCACTCTCTACCTTCTCCCCATATCTCCCCATCAAGGCCTCCGACTTCCCACTTTTTCCACCATGTGGACTCCCACCTGTGGACTCCCGTCAGCTGTCCCCATCATCGGCTTCTTCTCCAGCACTCGCCGGTAGGGGCCTTGCACCTCCCCAGCCGCCGCCACGCCCACATAGAGTGGGCCAGCACCCAAGTTTTTTGAGTCTCGTCGCGACACCGAGGCCGAATAGAAAAGCAACCACCTGAGACACGTCTGAGACACATGGCGGATGGGTAAACATCAGTTGGGTTGGTTGACCTGGGGTCACTGTCAGCAAATATTTCCATGGAGTGTTCCGCCTTTCAAACCCCTCCCTAAAGCTGGAACATGAGTGGCTTGGCTACTTCTTGGAGAAAAGAACCACACGACTGGTTCTGTGAAGCTGAAAGATGCTTTGACACAGTTCTTGCACAAAAACATCCGGGAAGCCAAGTGTGCGACAAAGAACCATCCTGTCCAGCAAGAATCGCTAATCTTGTTCAAAGCCAGAAGCTCGATAGGGCTCATTTGAAGTTATTTCTTTCCAGTATATTTTCAGATCGTGTCGGGCAAGGTCCTTGTGCTCAGTCTCCGTAGTCTCCAACCACTGTGGCTGCTACAACCTTCTTCCTGATTTGGCTGCTGAACCTGCTTCGAGCTTGCACCCTTGGAAACACATGGGGCATGCCTGACAACGTTGCCCAGCCCTTGGAAGATCTCTGTGCCCTTCCCTCGTTGGAACCAAAGGAGATAGCACAAACATCAAACCAATTAAGGTGCGTAATAATCAACCTCGAAACCTCGTGACCGAGCATACGCACTGACCTGGTGGCAGAATTTTCACTGACAAACCCGACAGGTCAAACAGTTTTGGCTCACAGTTCGGCTCCACTTCGTCTCACCCCGATCATGCTGATTTCACTTCTCCAAACACCGGCCAAGGCCGCTGGTCCCGGAAGCTGCTGTAGATGACGAAGGGGTGCCCCACGCGAGCGATCTGCACCTTCTCCCACTCTAATTCGGGCTCGAGGACCTGCCCGTGTTGACGGAGATGTTGACGTACAGATTGGTAGATCTGTGCTTACAATGGACGATGTTGGATGTTGGAGGCGGGCATGTCAAGAGGCCTGTCACCAATGGCTCCTCCAGATTGCACCTTCTTGAACCTTCATGTTGGACTGTGGCCGTTTGGATTGCAGCAGCACACTGGAGCGGCGCAGGGCTATGCAGTCTCAAAGCATAACACATCCAGTGCACAAAAAAGCTCGTGACTGGACTGGTGTCAGACCTAAACATGAAATGGAGCAAATCTGCAAGGGTGCTGTTTAAGGTGAACACATGTTGGTCCACACTGCCAGGTCCAAGCAAAAGGCTGCATGGTGCTAGCTGGTTCCCATGCACCAGGCCTGGTCCCGTCGCATATAGCAAAACTTCTGAAAGAAATCTACTGTAAGAAGAGAGTCCCGAGCAGACTTCTTCACTATAAGAGCCAACATGTTGGACATTGGACACCTTTAAAATCCTCAAGATATCACCAATTACATACCGAATCTGGAAACTTCCCTGCAAAGAAAAGAATAAATGCAGGCCGGCCTCTGCTTCACTACTCCAAAGCCAATCTCCTGCGCTGAAGGCCGCGGAAGGGAGCCGAGCAGAGATGCACTTCACTTTCACGCTGTGAAAGCTGCCAGTTCGATCAGCTTGCTCATAGAAGAGGTACACGACCTCAACGATCCAGTCGTCGAATGGGCCAAAGGCAAACGCTTGAACTCTGAACTTCCCTTGCTGGTCATTGGTTCATTGATGTTGCTTGTGCCATCTTGTGCCCCACGAGTCTTTCAAGCTTTCAAAATGTGCTCCCTACGACCCCGGAGAAAAGACTAAAACCTAACACTACCCCAACTGTAGGGGTAACTACCACCAACCACAAAGAACAATACAGAAAACTATATACAACGATATAATATATATATATATATAACTTATAACTATATAACCAATTCGTTGGCCTGTCAACTTTTCACTTCTGCCTTGTTGGTGGCCAACCACACCCCGGGCCCCCATGTCTAATCGTTTGCCCGGTGACGCTTCCCTCCTCTGCCCAGCACACGCAGGGCCCGCTGGCGCCCGGCGAATCCACCGTGAGCTCCACGACACGCCAATCCGAAAGGCCATTGGTGGACACGAAATGAACGATACCTCCCGCTCCGGACGTTTGCCCGTGTGGGGCAACTGGATTGGATGGGTTCGAATCCATGTGGACCATTGACGTGAATGTATGGTGAAGACTGGCCCAGTCGCATGGAGTTTACTTGAACCGCATGGTTTCACTTGGTGTGTGTGTATGTCTGGTCCATCACGGTCTATTCGTGATTCTATCTGCGTCGGAAAATTGGACAAAGTCGGTGTGCTGTGAGTTGTACACAAACCTGAGTTTGACACCAGCTTCTCTATCCACGAGAGCCCACTGTAGAGACCGGACCAATATAAACATATAGAACAACATAGAAACACCTGCAGTGATTGCTGTGGGGCAGTCTGAGTACATCACCAAGGACATGTCTCCACAATTCCTTTAACTTCCACAGTGTAGCGACGAAACAAACCAAACCCTCCAGGCTGCCTGCAGAAATGCTCACCCACAAATGCACATAGCCTTGGCAGCGGAAATCTGTCGACAACTGCGCGGGGGAACCTTGTTTTCATTGACATTGACCTCAAGCTAATAGCGATGGCCCCATATGGCCTCCAACCTAACAGGCAACGGCCTCCAACCTGGAGGCAATGGCCTCCAACCTAATAGTGCTTCAAGCCCGAATTTTCTTGTTCTCATTGACCCTTCAAGAGTCACTTGGGCAAACATTACCTTTCCTCTGACATCATGCGTGGCGGACTCGTGGACCATGGCACGGGCAAACGGTTCTATTTCCATGTTTGTGGGATAGGGTATCCCTACTGGTATCCCGGTGGGCTATGGTCGCGTCACTGTCGTTTTTCGCGAGCCCCAATTTGCCCACGCCCCCAACACTTGTCCAAGCTGAGCCAAGAAACCATCAATTTCCAGCACTGAGGGGCTTGAAACCCAAGTTTCTCCACTCGGCGGTTGCAGCAAAGGATTGATCACAAAGTCTTGGACTGGCGAACGGCTGCTTTGTGCCTTCTGCCAGTTCAAATGCCCGCCGGGTCGCTCATCCTCAGCAACGAGTGCGATGCCGAACGTTTCGCTTCGCAGTTTCCGATGCTCCTTCACCACTCTCGGCTGGGTGCGTTCGAATCAAGAACGAGGAATGGGGGCGCTGAACTCGATTCCAACCCCAAACCTTTTTGATTTCCTCTGCTCCTCTTTTAGTCATCGCTATTATGGAAATCTTTATCAATTTTAGGAGTCAACATGTCTCTCTCTCACGCCCAGGCATCACTGGTCCAGCACCGACTCCCTCCCTTTCGACACCCAAAGGCTGGTGGGTTGGCCACCGCTGCCATCTGCTGCGTCCACGTGCTCAGCGAGAGCTGCCCATCGCACACCCGCGCGCTGCGGCGCCGTCGGCATAGGGCGCAGCCCATGGCGCTGGCGTGACTTCGGGCGCTGGTTTCGACACACCACCGACGGAAGACCGCAGAAGTGGTTTACAGGTCGGGAGTGGGGTTGAATGTATGGAATAGGGAGGCCCCCCCAAACAGGTGGTTTTTGTGTATTGGAACTTTGTGGTGCGGGGTCAGAAAGAAGAGATGATGTCTTTGGGGAAATTGAAAAGAACAACTTTTTAAGTACTGTTATGACAACCTTTTTGGCTGATGCGCCCAGCGAAAAACCAAGAGCTAGCGGATTCCTTGTAGGGAAACAACCAAAACGTATAGACCTGCAACCTGCAACCTCGTGGTTGTTTTTTTTGGGGGGGCGGTGGTTCAACATAATATATACCTTGATTTAGGTCTGTGAACCACATAAACATCGATAAACATCCGCTTTAAGAAAACAAACATGTTCGGGAAAAAATGCCTTTGGCTCACCAATAAACGCCCTTAGCTTGTATATCAACGCCCGTGGAATATCAGAAACCAGAAAAAATCAGAAAACTAGAGTCATCCGCATACTCAAAAATAAGGCTGCGACTCCAAGACGTTTTTCACGCCGCAGATCGGAAAAACACACTCTGGGGAACGGCTCTGTCACATTTCAGTCCTTTTCACGAGCCAAACTGCCTGAGGATACATTGGCTCAATTCGCTCCGTGTGCAGGTGCTCCAACGTGCCGGAAACACCTTCTGAACGCTTCAATGCGACACCGATCAGCCCGGGGCTCTATCCCTACCTGAAATTATCCCGGCAAGAGACCCCAAACAGTGTGTGTGAGGTCGATAAGCAGAAAGTCTAGAGATCTAGACGCATTGGGGTCCAGAGAGGTGATGGTATGAAGGTGGGGATCGTGGTGACGGTGGCGGTGGTGGTGAGTGAGTGAGTGTGAGTGGGAGTGGGACTGTGAGTGAGAGTGAGTGTGAGTGCGGGTGTGAGTGTGTGTGTGAGTGTGGAGTGTGGATGTGAATGTCAGTGTGAGTGAAGAGTGAGTGTGAGTGTGAGCGTGTGTGAGTGAGTGAGAGTGAGGGTGAGGGTGAGAATGAAAGAGTGAAAGAGTGAGCATCTGAGAGCACAAAGTGCTGCGCCTGCGCCGAAATCTGCACGTCGAGGTTCACCAAAAGCTGCGCCTGCCACGAAATCTGCAAAAACAGCTCCGATCCCTTGCGCCTGTCACGAAAAAGCCGACTTTGGAGCACCAAAACGCGAGGTTTCCCTTGCGCCTGCCACAAAAAGTCACCACCATATGTGAAAATGCGGACGGCACCACAACGAGAGCGCAGTCGCTAGAAGCACCCGCCGCGGGCAGGCAGATTTTGCGAGCCTGCGCAGTCGAAATGCACTTCGAGGATTCCTAGAGGCATGAATGTACTGTAAATAGGAGCGAATTAGCCGCACACGCCCGCGCGGCACACCGATCTAAGCACAGCTGCTTTACACCTACCGTAAGAACCCCTTGGTGTGTCCACACTGTTTGGGGAAAAACACAAGTTGCAAAGACGAGCCGTTCAGTGTTCAAACCCAAAGTGTTGCCTCATCTCCTCGCTGCCGGCCATCACTGCCAATACAGCGCACATGAACCTGGAACTTGGAACTCGGCAACGGGTCCAACACAGAAACAAAACCCAAAAGCTCCATGTATGCAAGTATGGCCCACATTGGTGGTTTTGGACGGTAAATCTAAATGCCAGATTTGCACCACAATGGAGCGTTTGGGAACCTCATATAGGTGGCGTGGTTGCTGTGTTTCGATTGGGGCATCCTTCCTTTGACCACGGTGTTTGCATGCTGCGACAGGCCGGTCAAGGGCTCGCAAAGGAAGGGTGCCCCGATGAAACACCTTCGCACCCTGAGCGGCTCCCAAAAACAGTGCGATTCAGCGCAGAAAGAACTCGACATCAAACGTTCATTGAAATGGAAATCTATTTGCCTAGCGGATGTTTGATCCATGGAAACCCATCTCGGAAGTTCGGTCACATTGGGTGTTCAAGATTCATTGTGCAAATGAAGGTCTGTTCACACCAAAGACTGGTAGCAAATGAAGTTGATCTCTAATTGCGTGACATTATTTGCACTGCATGTCATGTCATGTCATGTCATGTCATTCATTCATTCATAAATTCCTGAAATTCATTGTTCCTGCAGCTCGGCAAAAACTATACAATCTAGGATGACTTTGCGAGAGATCTTAAAGCAATCAGGACCCTCCAAAAGCACCCTGTCACTCACCCTGTCCTAATTACTTGTGCTACCTTCATCATAAGACTTCCGATCACAAACACACATCCAATGTCCTCTAAATGTCTGTTCAAAGGAGGATTGGTGGCTACAAGTGCTCTCACGCCATAGCCTTATATGGCTTTTGGTCAAGACCGGGGCACCCTGGTTGAGAACCAAGAATGAAACCTGGTTTGGGGCTCCGGGTTTTGACCCACGGCCACTCCCACGGCCATATCCATTGCCTAGATAGAATGCACATGAAAGGCGTTCTCCTAGGATCTATTCATAGCACCCATCCATGGTTCTCACCCTCGCAGCTAAGCCCTCTGTGACACAGGTAAAAAGCTATGCGTTTCCCTCCAGCGGCCCAGGCCCCTCAAGGCCCTGACAGGGACAAAATCAGTCCACAAAGGAATTCAAGCAAATGGTTTGCATCGGGATCTTCCCAGGTTGACACAGGTTCCCTGAGCGACGGAAGAAGACCCGAGGAAACCCAAGAACTTTTTTGGCACGAGACCACATTTGGAGCAACGGTTCCACTACCCAATGGAGGCCAAGCTAGTTCTGGGTAAAGCAGGTAACATCAAGTCCACACCTTGACATCCTGTGCCAAAATGAGCTAGCTGGCAAGGAATGAGCCAACTTCTTCATGATACAACAAGCTCCAAATGGTTGATTGCTAGCCACTCAAACACTGTGTCAATCCCAATATGTTGCATCAGTTTACAATGCCATAAGTGGTTTCATCACAAGGTAATTCCTACGGTACAAGGGCACCCTCAAATAAGAACCGCAAGAACCCCATCTTGCAAATCATAAAAAAGACTCAAGGGCACCTGGCACCACATGTCAAGGTGGGTGAGAACTGACTGAGGGCCGTCCACATGGATGGCCTTGTTGCTTCAAATGTTTGATGGCAAATGTACAGTAAACATAGGATGTTTCCGATCCTTGGCTTTGGAGGTGTTGTGGATAAGCTATAATTTGTGTAAAGGGCCACAAGGATTTGCCGCTTGACTCAGAAAAGAAATAGCAAGAAACACCCGAAGCAAAAAAGCCCTTGTCTGGCAGCGGAGCGTGTTTGTCCCTTGTTGCACTGGTGGGGGTATGTTACGTGCGGCCAAAGGAACAAGCTGTATAACAATTTATGGATCGATTCCACCAAAAAGAAGCTCGATAATTTGAGATGAAACAAGGCCCTCACCTTTGAGAGTTCCCCGCAATTCAATCAATCAAACATCAAACCAACATGTCACCAGTCAAAACCCCCATCTAAGTGTGGCACTCACCCAGCATCGCAAGTTTCTCCTGAAGGTGTGTGCCACGAATGGTACAGTAAGCTGATGACCTTCTGAAACGGCACAGTTTGGCCAACAGAATTGATGACAACATCTTCTTAGCCAGGAGACATGATCACAGTCTCCAAGAAAAATCGCTCCTGGTGGACCTTGAAACCTGTCCTCTTTTCCGAGAAACTGCCGAACAAGCGGTGTCTTTCAGCATCTCACCATATCTCACCCAACAATGTATTTAAATGTTCTGTGGGGACGCATGTCTGCTTAAAGAAACAATCTCAGGTTGTGAGGATCACGCATGTATCACGTCCTTGTCGAGGATGGTCTTGATGAAAAAGCCGGCCATTACATGCCGGCCCTGCCGACACAATGCAAAGCTGATGCATCGCACAATAGTGGCATGTCATGGCATCAAGAACCTTGGGAGTCAACATATGCAGTGGGTAGGTGACCACTCAAGGAAAACTACTATTCTGCGATAATAACCCTCAAATGTCCAAACAACTCCAAATGACTGGAGTCACAGAGTCCTTCCATGCATGTGATCAGTGATGAGCCATCTTCCAGCGCTTGAAGATCAAAAGGAGTGTCACTGACTTGACTGGGGTGTGGTCGAGTGTGATCTGAGTCAAAAAATTGGCTCCGGTGCCTGGATCGGCGGCAAGGTCGGTTGTGCCTCCTCTCGTGCCAACGGTTGGAGTTGGGATGGCTGCAACTGCCATGAGGTGTCTTTCAGCTGGGAGTGCATGTCGAAAGCCCAACGCTCCTAGGAATACATCAACATGCTCCGGGCTCCGTGGCTCCGTAGACTTCTAGTGATCATGAGTCTGCAAGCCATCAAACCCTCTCGCCCAACACACCCTACCGAACTAGCTCCCCACTAATTACTCGTCCGCTCCGCACCCCTTGCGGGGCTGCCGCGTGAAAAATGACCGGCTCCGGGTGGCTTCTCCTTGGGCGCTTTGAGGTCAAGCTCTCGGACATCTTTGTTCCGGCCTAGAGGGTCTGGACAGCCCATGTGGGCCGGCCACGCGTGGTCGGCCATGCGAATCGCGTGCCTCTATAGCAAGCAATTGATGTTTGGAGCTTCATGGAGCATGCTGGGCTTGGAATGCTGGTGTGGATTTGGTGAGAATGGAAAGTGAGCCGGAACAAAATACATTGCATACCCCAAACCCATAAGTACGGTAGTCTAATCTTTGTGCTTCATGGCCAGCGTAATTAATGCCAGCGTATAATATGTATATATATATATATATATGTGTGTGTGTGTTTCATTAAATTTTGGGTAGGTGAAATGTCGTCAGGTCAACTTCATGAGGTAGTTCTTTCCCAAACACATCCATGTATGATGGATAGAACATCAAGAGCCGCATTGACGACATTGAGCATTGACGACATTGACATCGGGAAACCCTTCCAACGTAGGCCAAATACAGCCATACATTGTGGGATATTGAGGTATGGGAATGCAAA